GTAAAGTATACCCAAAATTAAAATATTAAGTTTGAAATTCCAGAGGCCACAATACAGTCAAAACAATTGTGGAATATCAGTTTAGGAGATAATCAGCTGAACAGGTTATGTGCTAGTGGTGTTCACAGACTGATGGACGAACAAACGTTTTGCTATCAATCGTCTAAGATCTCAGCAAATGGTGCATAGGGCACACATACATCGTAGAAGGACCAAGCGGCAAGATCAATTCAAGCAAGTACTAGAAACTGCTACTGACACAGCTAGAAGAATGGCAATTAAGCCTGCTGATTAGACCCTAGTGATTAAGAATACATTTTTACGTGTATGCAACACCATGCCTTGACACCAGGAGTATTGCTGCATTCATGACAGAAAAATATTACTGTTTTGCCATGGCCTGAGAACTCACCAGACATAAACCTATAAAGAAATGTGGGAACTCACCACACAACCAATCACTGCTAAGAGTCAATGCTCTTTAGATTTATTATTAATTCAGCAATTAAGTTTGAGAACTTGGTGGCAGAATACACTAACTTAACATTACAAAACTTAACTTTACAAAATTTAAAAGCTAATTGAAGTTATTGAATTCAGCTAATTGAAATTCTCCACAAAGAATGGCATCACAACAATGAACTGAAACAAAATGCAAAAAGCCTAGAGAGCGTGCCGCAACGCATTGAAGCTATAATTGCATCAAATGGTGGCATCACTAAAAGCTAGTATTAATTTTACCTAAAAATAGTTTTATCTAAATATTTTATTGCTATTGTTTTTAGTAATACATTCTCGTGAAATAAATTTATATTAGGTATTAATAATTTATATTTTGTATTAATAATACATTCTTATAAAATAAAAAAAATTCATCTGAAACCAAAAAACAATAATTTGTTTGAAAAATGCAGACTATAAAACAAAAAAATCTGAGACAAGTCCCTATAATTTGGCCACTTACTATACATACATACATGCATACAAACTTCATAGACCATCACCAGTTTTCATATGAGTATATTCAAGTAGCTACCATATTAAACTTATGCTCGCTATACTCACATAGAGATTATTCCGAATTGTTATTCTTGTATAAATTGATGAACCAAAATATTGATTCAATCAAATTATACTATAATCTGTAGGAGTACCCCTGTACATGATCTATGATCACAAGATTATATTGTTTACATTTCTTTTTGTCCAATCTAACACTTACTACTATTCACCTTTGTGAAAATGTTCAGCTAGCAAATAGAAATAGTATGAACATAATCTCATCTATATACCCATTTAAGCATGTGACTGCTACAGCCATGCCTAGAGTGAGTCACGTAGTGTGCCCAATTCATATGGCTCCACTCTGTGCACCACTCTGTGCAGAGCCCATCAGTCATGCTGTCGGCCGCAATAACTAAAGGACTATGGAGCAATCTAATCATTACCAAATGCAGATACAGAGAAAACTTCCAACATCTTAACTACTAAGATGCAAGTAACAAAAGGCCAAAGAAAACACGAGTTAAGTAGGACCTCATAGGACTTCAGAATATTGCAGTATTAAAAAGAAAACTGTGATAGAAAATGTCTATGTGACCATAAATTTATTTTTCTGGGCTGTCCCTGGTGATAGAAAGACTTTCCAAATCTTTCTTAAGCTCCCTCTAAATGGCAAAATTCCCCACACATAAATACCGCTAAAATCATATTAGAATTCATCTGGTCCTTACAAAAGGCATTATGAGAACAAGAATGGCCTCGCATCTGTACACGTCCAGATGGTCCCACCAACAGCCTGACTGTGCGCACCAACATGTTCAGAAGCACTCAGGCACAGAAATGTTCAGCTTGTTAACACATTCAGTGCAGTTAAAGGGGTAAGATTATTTAATAGTGTTAGAATCTTATCTTCCTACCCCACCCCTTCTGACTCCTTACACACTCCATGCCTGGAATACAGACTATGTATTCCACAGGGCACGTCTATATCTTTCATAAACACAAATATGGCATGCTTCCATAAATTGGTGCCTTGGTGCAAATGAAAGATTGAATCAGCATTACGGATAGATTATTATGATATAATGATAGTTGTAAATGGTATATTCCATATACTTATATTGTGTAATTATTAGTCTAGCGTTTAATGTATTTGTCTATATTTGTAATGAATTTTGTGCTATAATACAATGTACATAATCTGATATTTACCCATTGTCAAATGTAAATATTCTTTTTTATAGCCTGATGATAAGGACAAAAAGAACCTTGAAACCGTTGCAATAATAAAAACCTAATACTAAATGCATATTTATTGTATTATTATGTAAATAGTTGAAAAGGTCTGCATTTGGCATGAAGCCATTAAATGAGTAACTGTGAGTGGTGGCTAGCTCTCAATCTCACGCACTAATATTGACAAATTCTTTGCTAGCTTCTTGTTTAACTGCTATTTTCCAGCCAATACTTTTGCTTTGTTTTACTATTACTGCTAAAATACCTGTAGGTTTTTACTGATATTTCTCAATCTTTCTTTAAAATATTGAAAATAAATAACTTTTATAATTTTGTCCACATCTATCGATCACCGGGTGCCTCACCTCTGATAGCTAGGTACAAGCTATAATTTACCACCACTTGAAATATCTCTTTTTAATTGTTTGCAATCCTTACTAACCCCAACCCATTCATTTCCATTATTGAGGTGTACCTCAATTGGTGTACGGTTGACAAAACCACTAATGAACACTTATTTATATTAGGTACACAAAAGATTTCATCAATTGAAGCACACAAGATGCATAGTAAACTTTCCCCTAAGTTAACTTCAGCTGATTAACAAAGTGAAAACTATCTCTATTAATACAGATGTTTGAAAGAAAGTACTCAGATTGTTATAAATAAATCAAAAACCACAAATCCATTATCTGAAATAAAACCACTGTCAGTTATTAAATTTTCAACATAATATACTTTACTTACTTCTGGTATATGCAGATGTAAATCAATAGTATACATTGGTCCCAAACACGCATTGATATTAAATGAGCCAGCAACAGTAACATCCTCTGGACAAACAAATTTGAATTTTCCATTATCAGTAGCTGGTTTTAAACATACAGGAGGTTTAACAGTCAAATTTTCCAGCCATGATTCATCAGCTAACTGAAAGATCACAAGAAACTTACATTAAAAATCAATACCGCCATAGCATAAGATATGCATCATAAAATAATTAGACTTCATTTTTTATATCATAACTAAAAAACAAAGATTTAGTGTTATTTTACCATAGAAAGCGATAGAAGTTTATCCACCAAAAAGGCGTGAAGTGTCTTGTTTGGACTCGTGGACAGTTGCACTACATATAGGTTTTAAAAGAATTTTGCATGTGTTGATAAACAATTTCTTTTAATGTTTTCAGAACTTGGCCACAGAAAAAAATAATCTTTATTTAAACCACGCACATTTATTAGAGTTATACAAGAAATTTCATAAGACAATATACATCGTTATCCAGAACAGACTTTATATCCTGAATTTCACATGATTAACTTGTCTGTATGTGTCTTTATGCATGTGTATGCAGGCGTGTCTGTGTGCTTGTTTCTTTGTGTACACACCATGCACACGTATGGGCGCATGTTCAACTTGGGAAGGTTTCCAACAGCATTTTATTGAGAAATGCTTTAATTCCCCATAACAGTTTCCTGATTTGTTTTCTTCTATATAGTCAAGAAGGTTATACTTAGAGACAAAGCTCTAAGAATAGTTTAAAGTACAGATGTGGCTAAATTATTAGGGTAAGACATATTTCTCTATTAAGGAACCAACTTTAAAAAATGCCTTGTTCTTGCGTTGAGGTAATGTTACCCCCCGCTTTCCGCAAAAACATAATATTTCATTCAAATAAGTTTTGTGAGAACCACAACAAGATTTAGCGACTCAGCTGCTTTTCTGTGATTTTAGTTGCTTCTCATTGTTATATGTATATTCTTATAGAAATATCATTGATGTGCAACAGGAATTACTGTGACCATTAGATTGGTGTGCCCTGTAAATTTACACGCGTTATTGATATTCTTCTTCTGTTCCTTTGGTACTCAGAAGGCCAGTTCTAAAAACTAAACAAAATGATGTTATGGGAAAACAGTAGACGTCATGGCCAAAAGATTACCAGAGCACTATTCAGTGAAAAACCATATTCACAGTATAAGATAGCTTCTAGAATAAAAATATCATAGCAGTCTAAAAGTAGAATAACAAGGGGGTGCGACAGAATCGTGCAAACTTTCTGGTAATCAAGTTTTCTAATTTCCTTGGTGTGGACTAGCTTTAGTCTTGCCCCATCCTCTTTGCCAGCTATCATCCATCACTACCCAAAATATATTTTTTGACGTTTTCTCAATTTTTTGGCTTCCTAATGGTAGATTGGGCATCTTCAAATGATCTGGTCTGGTTCTGGTCAACTCAAATATTTTTCTTTCGCAGTAATTTGCAACTTTTATTTCTTCAGTAGACATAGACATTCCAAATGAAACATATAAGCACTTTTTTTTTCATTCTTGATTGCTAGATAACGGTTTATCCGAAATTGCAAAAACATATATATGCTCAGGGTATGAACAGGATGAAATACGACTTACATTGCTTCATATGTTCATCTAAAACCATGCTTAGATGCTATATGCCTGTGGTAAAGTCAGAGAGGCCCATGTAAAGCAAACAGTAGTTGATCCACACCAAAGTAGTACACTGTAGAAGTACTATTTAGCAAAACAACAACAGATTGGCACTAAAAGTTGTAAAACCATCCTACCATCAACGACTGTTCCATCAACGACTGTGCATGCACCGGCATGACGACAATGGCAGAGTGCTATATGCACCAAATTAATTTGGGCGTTAATGGGTTCAAGTAATAAGAACAAGATTACTATATCAGGAAAGAAATAATTTGGACAAAATAAATTTATATTCTTACAACATTTAGCTCCATGCCACAAAGCAAAACTATTAATGGAGGTTTTGAGAGAAAATAATAATAATCAATAATTGACTGGTCTAAAAACTGGTCAGAAATAATAGTTAATTAAGAATATTCGGGCTACAGCAATGTAAAAAACTAGAGTAACAACAAAAATTGACTTGATTGAGATTCTCATTTGCTTCTGGTTTCATGACAATATAAAACATTAATGTAAAATACTGATTGAGGGCTAGTAACTTATTTAAAGCTATGGGATGCACTTGAAATCTGAAGTGATTAACTTCATATGCAACATGTAAAAAAAAATTTCAATTTAATTTTGAGAAATAGTTTCTTTTACTGTTCACTCTAATAATTTTGCCAAATAAATTTACAAAATTGAGGTGCAAATTATTAAGGCGATGACACACGCTCACAACCATTTTTGACTGTCAGAAGCTTAGACCATCAGCATTATGGTGTACTTGCCATTCATAAATGATACTAATGACGTCACCAGTCTACAACAGAGCTTCCAGTCTTGGAGGCACATGGTGGTAGTTTAAAAAAGGGACATTATGTCATCATCTCAGTCCCACACAGTATTTTATATTGGAGCCCCAACGTTATATTCCACACTAAAGAAAGTTGTATAAAACAAAATTTAGTTTCAAATGTTTCAAGACAAAAAGCTTAAATACACTAAACTTACATCATATTCACTTAAATCTTCCAATCCGAGTATATATGATTTAAATTCAGAAAGCCAGTCATTGAATAGATTCTTATATTTTGTTTTCATTTGAATTTCTTTCAACATTTCTTCAATCTACAACACAAAACATTGAAAATCAATAAAAACACAATACAATAAAAACAAAACAATATATTGTATGAGACAGCACCTGCATCCGGAAGAGATTTGAATTGAATAAATTCTCAGTCTCCCTTAACATATTTAATTCTTGAACAGTAGGAGGTTTTAAGGAATCAACAGTCTTCCGCTTTTTACTGTGTCTATGATACTCATCCTACAAAAAATAACATGCAAACAAAATAAGAAAAATAACATACAAACTGCCACTTTACATTACATTTTTAACAAATTATCTTACGTTATATTTTCTTTTCTCTGGATCTGTTGTTTCACTTTCCAGAATTTCAGTAACTTCATCATTTTCTGAACTCTCAGTGTCATCCCTATGTTCCATTTCCCGTTTCATTGCCTGTAACATCGAACTAATTACACGTTCTATTCTCCAAACGTTCTATATTCAGAGAGTGTATCAACGAATCTTATTTACTTATAGTTCGTACAACAGGTATAACCTATAAAATGAAAGGGAAAAACTAGAAAACAAGTAACAAACAGATTAAAGTCACTGTGATCACGACTTTAACATGTGGAGATTTAGGAAATATATGCCTCAATAGCTTAATAACCACGTCACTTTTTCATTAATTGTAAACACCATGCAACACATTACAAGTAAAGCATAGAGTATTTCAGGGAAAGTTTGAAGTAGCGCATGCCGCCCAAGCTGTATCACGTCACCACGTGGTGCTGCCAGTAATTTTTTTTTTTTGTCCAATATAGTGGCTTGTGACACAAAACAGCTGAACGCAGTTATCCAATCAAAAACTTCATTACGACTTTAATTCTTAGTACAGAAGCTCTCGATTCGATAACGAGTTCTAAGTATATGATGTATGTAATACACTTGGGTTTCAATTTTTTGGTGCGTGAGAGCCTTACTGGGCACTCACGCGCCAAAAAGTAAAGAGCCAAGTGTAAGTCATTACATTTATTATTAGCCAAAGCATACCCATACTCTCTAGCTGAAGCGTGCACAAATGTGCATTTCTATTTTTACTTTTTCTTAGTATGTAATGAGAGAGTTGGGTCCCACAATACATGGATTTTTAGTTCTTGGCGTATGGCGTATTTTTAGTTTTCTGCTTTACAATGGAATATCTCACGGCATTTCGCATTTTTCTCGGTAATGTCGCTTGATGACGCATCATCGTGACCGTATCGAGCAGTTCTGGCGATTATGCGGCATCTAGCGGCACTACTGAGAAAGACGCGAAATGGCATGTGATATTGCATCTTGAAGAAAGTTCTCACGCGCCAAGAAATAATAACCCAAGTATAGATATACTGTACTTGCTCCTCATTTGAATTCTGGTGCCAGGCCCGACGGATAATATGGGTATGGTGGGTAGCTATACCCACACGAAAAATTCCGTGTGGGTAAAATACGCACTCGGGAATATTCCATAAATGTCAAATTGCAGAAATGACAAATTCTGTAAAAGTTAACTTCACTTTTTATCTGACGTCATACACATAAGGAAAACTGGTAATTTCGACGATGATCTTTTTAAGTACTTAAATATAAAAAACACATATTGCACGGTTAATTGTTTGACAATAGTTGTTAAATTAATAAACAAAATAAAAAGTTTTTTTATATATCAATTAAGTAAAGTGTCTGTACTATCACTAACATATATATTGTTAATTGAATTTGGCCACAGATTTTTAACGGCAGCCAGTTTTTAGATCATAGAAAGTTTTTTTCACGTCTTCAGAGCAATCACATCACAAAAAGATTATTGTTTTCCAGAGCGATGTTTCGGAGAAGTCATTTTTTCCCTTCTTCAGGCAGGAAAATGTGTTTGGAATGTTGTCATCAGTGCTCTCTGAGAGCTTTTACCTTGAACTGTTTATTGTGCCAAAGAGGGGGAAGCAAGGTCATAGTCCAAGAAAAGTTGAGCGAGTAATGTGCCAATCCGTATCCTGGGAGGTGGTGGTGCTGCTGCACCTGCCCGCAGATTTGAACCTTCTACCGCCGACATCCTCGTCGGCGTGCAGCTTGCTGTTCACCCCAGCGAGGCGCCGCCCCAACCAGAACAAGCAGTAATAATATGTTCCCGACACGTTGTGTGATAAATGTTGGCTTGACACAGAAAATAAGCTACAACTAGGTCGAAAGGAAAGGGTATGGTTTAACGATCTTATTTACGTGTTGCGGACATTTTATATAAACTGAATTTTTGAATGTTTCTAATATATGGTGGTGAATATATATTGTAATATTATTGCGGTTTGATGGCATACTGTTCCTTAATATTGTACTTTACTGCACATTATTGTTATATTTTACACACAAATTTATCACTTAACCCAGGGAGTACATGAGCTTGGCGTTGGTGGTGGAGCTTGAGTACCCCCGTGATCTCGAGGGCGATGCCAGCGGTAGCGTAGCTACTAGCAGGGCCTCCCTTGCCGGACTGGTCAAGGGGGAGGGGTCAGATGAAGTACTCCGGAAGAGGACGGAGGCGCAAGGTCATCCGGTACAGTGCGCTGAAGAGGATCTCGAAACGACGAAGAGTTAGACAGAAATCTTAGCCTACATTTCTACAGAGGGATGAAGGGTGCGGGTATGATCTCGACAACGGAACAAGAAGATTCCATTCCATTCTGGGCAGGAGGAGCTCAAAAGCTCGGCGAAGCCATCCCCCTAGGGGAGTAAACCCTAAAAATTCCTGATCCTCCTAGTAGGGGGTGGAACGACGGGCCAGCTCCTCGTCGTTCAAGAAAAAAATAAGAAATGCTGAAAAGCCTAATCATGAGAAAACGGTCGGTAGTCGGTGACGAACTAGGCAAAAGAAATGGATAACGAATATTGGAACATGGAATACTCAAGGTTTGGGAAATAGATACAGGAGGTAATTAAGGAACTTCAAGATTTAAATATGGAAATTGAAAGCTTAAGCGAGGCAAAGAAAAAGGGCCAGGGTGTAGAAGAGATTGGATCCTATGTTCATGTTTGGAGCGGAGTAACAAAAGATCAGAGGGTAGTAAAGGGATTCCATAGTCATAAAAAATAGATGCAAAACCATATTAAAAGTTGGGTTAGCCATAGACGAGAGGCTGATTAAAGTCAATTTTGAATGTTTTAGATACAAAATGACGATTCTTGGAGTGTATGCGCCGTATGAAAATGAAGATACTAGTATTTTAGAGGAATTTTACTAAAAAAATAGACGGAGTAATCAGTGAATGTGGCATAAATAATATCTTAATAAATGCGGTGAAGAAATTGTATATAGATTAAAAGGGAAAAGTGAAATTTGGAATACAGATGATCCAAACATTTCCTATATCAAAAGAACTACTGCAAGGATGCTGTTTGACACCTACCCTCTTTAAAATGTATGTTAATGCGAAGTAACAGGTATGGAAAAAGAAAATGTGCTGGAATGGGAATACCACTTAATGATAATACAACACTATATACCCTTCAGTTCGCGGACGATCAGGTGCCGATGGCGTAAGAACAGGAAGATATTGAATATATGACTAGGAAAGTAAAAGAAGATTGTGAGAAATGGGGACTAACATCCGAACGAACTCCACGCCGCTGCGGCTGGTTCCCGGTCCCGTGGAAGGAGACGTCCTGGTCGCAGCCAACACCTGATATACCGGACGGTTCATCTATGTGAGTCCATCCACTTCTTTTTTTATGATAACTGGCACCTGATGCAGTTCTTTCAAAAGAAAGAACTCAGCAGTAATTACCAGAGGCAGTTCTTTCCAAAGAACTAAGCACTTTGTAATACAGCTGTTGACCGGAGTACCTTCCGTAATGGACAACGGCAGTGTTGACAAGTCAAGCAAGAAGCGCGAGCGGTCTTGCACGCTCTCGGCTCGAGGCGCCCTAGTTTTCTCAACCGGCGGCATTAAAGTCTTGGTTGCTCCTGAGTACGTCACCAACTCGCTCGCCGCCGCTGCCGCTACCTCGGCCCCCGCCGCCGAACCGACTTCCTCGCAAAGAGAAATCCCTGCTGTCAAATCGCTGCGGGAGCCCCACAGCGGTTCGACGTCTCAGGGCGCGCTCCCTCGCGAAACCAAGCCTGGACACGGAGGGAAAAAGAAAGGGGAAAACGGACACTGTCGGAACCTACTCGCGTCGCAAATGCCCTAGAGGCTCTGATGAAAGCCAACTCTGACGGGTGCATTGCTGACCTCCCTTTGTACCTGTTCTCGCTGTTTGCCTCCCGCCTGACACCTGCCGACAGGCAGGCTCTCTCGAAGGCGGCGGACAAATGCGGCATTAGCGGCGAGTACCACGCCCTCTCCGCTAGCGCGGAACCTTTACCGTGGCCAACCGCCTCACCAACTGCCGGCAAAGGCCAGAAGCGCCGCCTCTCGGGCGATCAGCCGAGCGCCGCAACTGGAAAGGTACCTCCCATCCAGGTATCTCCCACAGCTCTCTCGCTCTGCCCGCGGTCGGTGAGCCCGAGATGCAGGTGGATAGCGCAGCCGAGGGTAGTGGTGAGCCCGACGCGTCGGAGATGCCGGTAGCCAGCAATGCCGACTCGGGTGCCCACGTGGAGGGGCGGTCGCCGCCCCAGGCAGTGTCACTACTGTCACCCTCGCCTCCACGCATAAATGCGCAGGACTCTCCTCCCTCCACGTCGGAACCCGGGAAGGCATCAAAGCGCGTCCCACCCGTCATGGTCGCGTCCAAAGCGGTGCCCTCCGAAGGCGGTTTCGCCGAGTGGTTTAAGGTAACCACGCACGGTTGTGAACTCCCGGTCACGGGGAGTTTTTCTCCCTGCAAGCGCGGTACGCGGGCCACATAAAAATCTCCGCGAACCTGAAGTCACGTAATCTGGGCCACTTCAGCCACGCACGGAAAGAACAGAGGGGAAAGGTTTCGAAAGGCTAATCCTAGCGCGAATCCAACCAGCTATCATCTCTCAAAACCTTACACGAGATGAGCAATTTGCTTTCCCACTGGTACATTCAGCCTCACTGCAGGCACTATGTACGGCCCAGCAGATCTCCGACATGGTACAAGCCTTCGACAAAGTGCCACACAAAACACTACTCTCCAAAATAAGACGAAGCCTCCAAAAAGATGTACGGGTATGATTACATATTTTCTCACAAACAGCACCTTCATGGTCAAAGTGGGAAACGCGAGGTACTCAAAGTGCGGGATTTTCGCCGGAATCCCCAAAAGACACCGTGCTCTTCCCGCTACTGTTCTCGCTATATGACAATGACATACCACAGATATCACGGATTAAGCTATTCTTGTATGCTGACGACATAGCAGTCCTAGCAAGAGGAATAAACCTAGATCATAATCTGAAAAGACTAAAAAAGCATATGTACCTGACTGAAGTGGGCAGAAGAAAACCACAGCGGAAAGTCTCAGACGATCTGTTTCTCTCGCCGCAAACACAAACACACAAAGCGGTTCATGCTGCCCAAGCAAATCAAAACCGGAACCCAAAAACTCAAATAGGCGCCTAAGGCAATCTACCAGGGTGTCACTTTCGACTGGAGCAAGCGCTAGCGCATGTCCGGCGAATCCGATCGATACTTCACCTAAGGGTCCGTCTCCTAAAAGAATCTTCTCTCACCTTGAATCTTCACCTGGCACTCTATAAAACGTGTTGCCAGCCTGTGGCCACCTGCACCGCAGCGACGTAGTGGATCACAGCACGGAAGTACAAGGACACTTAAGTTAATTCAGAATAGAGTTCTGAGGCTCATATCTCGCCCTCCATTTCGGAAACGACTGAAAGTACTGAGGAAGGAACTTGATATCAAGTCCTTCATTCAATGCTTGAGACGGATATCATTCAATGAAGCCTACCAAGCCTCTCAATCAGACGAAGCTCCGGCTACGCTAAAGAACTTTCAACGACATGTCATTACCATTAGGCATAGACGACGAGCTCTCCCTTCAAACATACTAAGAGCATAGAGCGAAACACACACTAAAATGACATAGTTACAAATGTGACGAAACAAATCGCCAAACTGGCAAACGATTAAGGTCCGTTGCGAACCTACACAAACTACACCTAGCAGTAAAACGAAAAAGGTGTGTGCACTGCAAATACGATCACGTATCCTCTGATCAATACGATCAAGATAGATCAAACACCACACTAACCTTCGGCTACGCCAGAAAAAGGGAGCTTTGAAGGCGGAAAGTAATAGTCAAGAAAGAGGAGCTTGATTATCCCGAGGTGTCATAATACTTTTAATTTGTCAACACAAGTCTAAGGTGAAACTACGCCGAAATTACGTCGCTAGAAACGCACGTCAGGAGTGAATATCACGCGTCGGCGTGCTACTGGTAAGCGTAGCGACGAGCCAAAGAAGGCGAGGGCCAAGCAAGAGAAAGAGTGGGCGGTGATTTCGAATGAAGGAACACCTGGACGATAGTGTTGGTGCAACGTCGAGGACATCTGGACGGAAGAGTGAAGCGACGGTGGCCGAATCTGGGATAAGGTCAGACGCGGCGGCGAAGAAGCGAGGTTTGCGAGCCGCGGGCTGTGCGCGCTACCGCAGGTAATCCATTTTGTAACGGGAGTTGACAGCAGGCAGAGCCGCGAGTGCTAGAGCAGCAGCAGAAAGGCTACAGTTCTACACTTGCATAATCACGGAGCTTGTCGTAGAAACGAGATCACGGCAAATAACGGGAAGAAAACCTATTAAATATCATAAACAGTACAAAAATACAATAAAAACAAATCAATATATACATTAAATGCGATACATAGAATACATTCAAAACATCAGAAGTATTATAATACATACAACAAAAGTATAATAAGTAGTTCCTTTAAATGCTATTGTAAATATTGGTTTCCTTAACGAAATCAATAATTATCTTTTGTTAATCTTTATAGTTTGTTCAAAAGACTTTAAAACTTCGTTTAAAGCTAAGCTCAAATATTATGTAATTTGACGTAGCTCACCAAATCAATGTCTGTCACCAATGTTATCATTTCAAATGTGCTAATTGTATCACAAGAAATGGCATCAAATGTTCATTAAAATGGCAAGAAAAATATATTGAAAACACGTTTGAAGAAAAATGCAAACATTAAAAGTTCCAGGTGTAGCACATCTAATATCGTAAACGTGTGCCTTGATACTGAAATTCAAACTTGAAACTTTGAATTCAGCACATAAGACTGCTTACATTTAAAAAATACATTAATAAGTGTAATATTTATTTAATTTTTATAAATAACCATGTATTTACTATAATTACTACTTTAAATTATATCATATTATAGTTAACTTAAGTTTTGAAAGTTTCTACATTCCGTGAAAAATTACGAACATACTTGGGACTGTGTAAATGATCATTCTGGATTTCCCCCCAGAGATTATTTAAGTTTAATGAAGGTAATATTTCTTTCAATAATTAATACAATTTTTAAAAAATAAACATAAAAAGTCGACAGTTTATAATGAGTCGTCCATAAATTATGGGATAATGCTAGAGAGGGGGGAGAGGGTCTGGGACAGCGTTACGCTGCATTCCATAGGGGTAGGGAGTATTAGCTAAATGTTACGAAACATTGATTTTTTTTTAAATTTTTCGACATTTGCTGAAATAATTTCTTTTTTGGCTCGTTCTAAAACAGTAAAATATTAACTTATTAATTGTTTTTAAAACATAAATAAACTAGAGTTATAAGTTGTAAATTGTTACAATAAATGGAACTATTTTTCAACATTTTTTTAAAATCTGTAAGATTAGGAAGAAAATATTCAAAACGGTTATGAAGCATATTCCGTTTAAATCGGAACTGTAGACTCTCGCTCTTGCATTATCCACATCTTTCCATTCTCGCCCAAGCATTCTTCTTTCACTCTCAACTTGCCCCAATCTCATTGTTAGGTGCAGTCAGCATCGCTAACTAATTTATACTTTAATTATCATAAATTACTTTAATATACAACATAAGTTAAATAGATATAAATTGATTTTACTGTGTAATAATTTATTTTCATTCCTTACATTTACAAGGAGTGGGGGCGCTGTAAATATTACGTTATTAATTAGGGCGGGGGCAAGCGCACGTTACGGGTGCGTTACATGGGGGAGAGGAAGTATTGAAAGAACTCCAAATTTGCGTTACGTAATTTATTGAGGGCCTGTAAAACTACACGGAATGACTTCTACTTTAATATCACAGGGGTCCAAAATGCATTTACATATCCCATGAAAGTGCATGTGGATTCAAATGTTTCATAGATTCAATTTTATTGCCAATTAGCACCTTAGCAAAATCATTGTTAAGATCATGATAATATTTACTTCGAACTATTTTCATGTGCATCTGAAAGAATAGTTTATCTTTAAATTAAATTTGGGAACGAGATGCGCAGTCAGAACAAATCGAAATAAAACAAATATCATTGTAAATAACAAACGTGCTATGAAGCGCAAACCTCGGCAATCGCATACGTCCAAAAAAATACTAATTCTCAAGGAATCGCTTACGCGCACATCAGAGGTTGCCATTTAACACTCGTATCAAAAGTCGTTATTCTGAACATCTCTGTAGTTCATTGGCGAAAACCACAGCGGAAGAGTTCTTTCTCTTAGATGATATTCCTGAAGAAGTAAAGTAACAAAATACGATCGTCATAGTAACGACATCTCGTGGAACGCGGTTGAACTTTGTGGCTGTACTAGTGCTGCTTCAGTGGTGACGTTGGTAAACTTCAAGATTACTCGTATACGTCTATAGTACAAGCTGGAGCATTGGAGTTCCCCCACCTCCCCAGACAGAGCCCAAGCCAGCCAAGTTTTCTGAACATGTCCATAATGTGTAGCTTTCCTGTATTATGGAATTAAACTTGACATTGTGTGTACTGACATTAAAGTTTAACATTGCGAATGGTGTCTGTGAAAAACAAATTATTGAACAGTGTTAAATGAGTTTCTTAAAGTCATCCTAATTTGCAAGATAACTTAAAAAATGCATCTGTTAGTAGTAATTTGCCTGTGAAAATGGCGTCTGATAATGAAACTTCTTGTGTGTGTGACCCAAATTTCGCTGTTATTTGCTCGTTTTTGGAGAAATTTGCGAAATCATGCGGGATTTCGCATCCCAATATACTGGAGCTTCAGGAGATGCTGGAAAACTCGCAAGAAGGTTCGTGTAACAGAGCTAGACAAAGTAGTAATTTTCGTTTGACAGCGTCGACTGTGTTTACGCGTTTGTTGTTGTTGACAAATTTGTGCATCACCCGCATCTTTAGTTTTGGAGATGTAAACAAACGAAAAAGAAACATGTTTTACTCTTCTTAACTCCTTTTAAGTGTATAATATTTCATTTATTCATTTACTGTAGGAACTTCACGTTCCCAAACTTAAGCGATATAACCAATATAGTGAATCGCTGTCACCGCTGTCAAAATTCGCAGCTCAGCAAATTTTCTTTCCCTAAATCACCTTTGCTCTCGTATGCATTTACTTGTCTTCTCTAAACTCTTAAATGAATAGAGGATTTAAATGTGTGTTCTGTTTATTTGTTGGATTTTGCTTTTATATTTTTTAATAAATGAGCAGTAACACATTTTACAATATACTATTAATGTTGTTTTGTTTTGTGTATAAATCAAGTAGTATTAAAATGTACATTTGTTGATATGTTGCTATTAATAATGTAGGTTCATGATAGTCTTTGTGAATGTGTGTAAAGTGTTTCATCTCATACTAAAATATGACAAAAGTAGGAAAAAGCCTCTTTCCTTGTCACAAACTTTTTGTTAATATCATACCGGTTTTATTTATTGTGTTAATGTTATTTTATAAATTGTTTCAGTACCTCAACCATTGGTTGATCTCCATGTAAAGTTATTGAGAAAAGCCCGAAAATCTGTGTCTGGGGAGCGATGGGAAAAAGCTATTATTAAGTTCTGTCATTCATATTCTAATCAGGATGGATGGGAAATTGAGAGATTTGGGTACAAAAAAGCTCGAATTTCTGTAAAATTACGTATTCTTAAGGTAAGATATTCATATATTATTATTTACTTGTGTAAAATATAATGTGTAGTAATGGTGATGTATATTTTTGTCTAGATGCTTTTGGAACTGCAATTTGACTTAAATACAAAGTTTAAGACGGAAGTAAATAGACTGAGTGCCGATGAGCTGCGTTGTCAACCTTTAGGTAGAGATAAAATGGGCCAAACCTATTGGTGTCAGTTAGACGAAGATTGTAATTTGCGAGTGTATCGTGAAGATCTTGATGATGAAACTTGGGAAGTTGTGGCTCGGTAAGATCATAAATGGCACTTATAAGAATATGTGTGAAGCAATGAATACCAAATCCATTATTTGTGTGGATTGTTTGTTTCTAGTATGAAATTTACGTTTTAAACTATTTTTTATCTTTTCAGAGATCGGGATGGTTTAGTGCAGTTGATTTCACAGTTATCTTCTAATGATCCATTCCGGAAAGATACAGAAGAAATTCTTAACGAAGACAGTAATAGCCTTGAAATTGAAAAACCCATAACAGATACAGGTCAGGCAATTGTCTTGCAGAAAGAAGAATTAGCAGAAACACTAGATGATGATGACGATGAAGAATTTGAAGAGATTGATGATGATGAAAGTGAAGACAAAGATGATATTCCAGATCATGGAAATATTGAAAAGAGTTGTGCTGCAGATGAAGAAGAGGACAAAAAAGAAAGTAATGTTGAAAAGAAAGAATTTGAAGTGATAGAAAAAAAAACAGAACCTGAAGATCATTGTGTATTGAAACAAATTGAAGAAAATAAAACGATACATGCAGAATCGTCAGAATGTTCATTAAAAGAAACAAAATCTGCACAAAAGAGTCCAAATCTTAGCAGTGAATCTGAATTGAAGCCTGAAGAATCTAAAGAAGAAAATATGAATGAACTTTCAAAACCTGATGATTTGTTGCAATCTCCAGAACATGAAACTTGTTTGTTGAAATTGGAAGAATCTGAAAATTCGCGTGTTTTGAAACCTGCAGAATCTGAAGACGAACAACCTATATTTAATTCTTCTAAATCAAAAGAAGAAAATGTAATAAACACAATTGAATTTAAAGAGAGTGATACTAAACCTGCTGAATCAAAAGAAGAAGATGCGACAAAAACATCAGAACCTAGGGAGAAAGAAATGTTGGAACCTACAGAATCAAAAGAAGAAAATACAATGGAAACAATGGAATCCAAAGGGAAAGAAATATTGAAACCTGCTAAGTCAAATGAACTTCATGTAATAAAAACAACAGCAATCAAAGAAAAAGAAATATTGAAATTTACCAGGTCAAAAGAAGAAAATGTAATAAAAGAAACGGAACCTAAAGAAAAAGAAATCTTGAAACCTGGAGATGGTAATGGAGAAAATTGTTTTGAACAAGGAGCATCTAAAGATGATTCTAAATTGAAAATTACCGAGTCTAAAGAGAGGGAGATAGAATCTAAAGACAAAAGTTTGTTGACTCCTGTAGAATCTGAGAGTTCTGGATATAAAGAGTTAAAACATTCAAAATTTAAAGAAGATGCTTCGAAAAATGATGAGCAGTCCAACAAATATGTGTTTAGAACTACAGATAATTTAAATCTTGAAACTACTGCCAAGACAGCTCCAAAGGTGGAGGATATCCCGAACAGGTTCTCTTCTGTGAATAAAGAAATTGAAAGGCATCTTCCACGACCATCAACAAATAATCCTTCACAAGATAATATACCGCAAAATGAGTTCATTGGGATGGATTTAAGTAAGCCGTCTCAACCCCGAGTTTTGGAATCTCCTATTGCGAAGAACTCAGGTATTGATCTTAGCAGCAAATTGTATACAGAGGAACACTCGTTACAGCAACTTGTTAAAATTGAAGACATGAATGAAAGCAGTACATCAAACTCCAGCCTTGTAGCAGAAGATTTATCAGATGCTAGCAAGCGTACTCTGTCAAATCCAGAAAACTTTGATCATAAGAGATTTGTTCCTCATCCTTTAACTGCTACTGATCTCAGTACTAAACGTCCAATTGATTTACTTAAATCATCCAAGGTAACTATAATGAATTCAATGCCAGGGTTTAGTTCTTTATCTGTGAGCCGTCTTAATTTGTCAGGTAAGCGGTTACATGAAAGTGACCTAATGACAAATGAAGCCAAAAAGTTGAGATTAGAACAAACAGTTGCTGCTAATTGCCATAAATTAATGCCTCCTATTGTTGGACCTCCACTACCTCATTTTGGTAGTGGGAGCTTTGACAGTGAAGACAGCACCGAAGTAGGAGAAGCTATTGAAGAACCCCTTATGCTTGTTAGAGGAGAGGGATCTGGGGCTGATTGTAATACAGGGAATCCTGGGAAAGAAGAAGAGAGTGGGAAAAGTAACCGTGATTCATCCAAGAGTGATGAGATTTCTGCTGGAGGAGGTGCAGGGCAATCTGAAAAGAGTGCTCTTTCTAATGATAATGGTAACATCTCAACTAACAAAGGAGAGGCAAGTGGAAAAGGGCCTGAAATTAGCAATCAAGAAACTAAGATAAATCTTACGAGAACTTCAAGTACTTCTACAATATCTAACGTCTCAGGTGGTTCAACACTGAGAGAAGTTAAATTTTCTAAAGATGAAAAAGATGTTCAAATAAATTGTGAAAAGACATTAGCATTATCTGTAGAAAAGCTGACAGAAGAGAATGAAAGATGTTCTGATTTAAACACAAAAAAAACTGAGAATCAGGAATGTAGTGCAAAAGATAAAAATTTAAATGTTTTGGAAACGTATGAAGCTAAGAAAATCTCTGACCCAGGAGAAGATACAGAAAAATCTCAATCTGCTACAAATAAGATGCTTTGTTTGGACAAACATTCACTTAAAGAAGAATCATGTCTACAATCTCCACCCAAACATTCTCCCAAGTTATGGAGCATTGAAACAATTTGTGCACCAGATGGAAAATCAAAAGATAATCCAAAAACAGGAAGTGGAAGTACAAAAGTTGGTGGAAATTCTTTTTTAGGTGTGGTTTCAGACAGTTTGTATGGAGATAAATACAGTGCAAAGTTTCAGGATGTAGAGTTGGGTGGTCGAATCAATCCTACCAGTAGCAGTCCCACAAAGAGACCATCTCGTTGGGATGTGTGTGGGGATGATAGATTACAGAAGAAGGACCAGTCTGATTCTAATGATAAAAGCAGTGTTTTACAGAATGCCTCTTCAACTGCTGCTGACACGTCAGAACAGAAGATGGGTCCCATGGATGAATTACGTAACACAAATTTAGGTCCAGTTACAGAAGAACAGAATGTTGCTATTGATATGCTGCCTGCTGTTGAGGTGTCCAGACCAAGTAAAAATATTACTGAATCCAGGGTACAGGTATGTCAAAAACAAAAATTCAAATTTGATATTGAAAATATAATTAGTATAGTTGCAGAAAAAGAAAAAACAAAACCTCCATTGATATCAACTTTTGATGTGAAAGCAAACACATACATTGGCCAATTACAGATTGCTGGAGCTGAGACACAAGGAAGAAAAGAGGATGCTACACCAGAGAAAGAAGCAGAAGCTCTTGATCGGGGAACTCAAGAATGCCAATCTACAGAACAAACTACTGAAAAGAACGGATCAGGTGACACAAATGCCAACCTTGAGAAATTACCATCTCAAGGATTCTTTTTTGGTCCAGGCTGTTTACTTAAGTCACCTATTAAGAAAACAAATGATGGCATCAACTCATCAAACACCGGAGACTCTGAGAAAACAGATGAGGCTGAGAGTGACTCCTCCGAGGGACAAACAAGTATGTCTATGTTATCTGAACAGACTAATAAAGGAATTGGCGAATCAGTATCTGAGGTGTTTGGAACGAAGGATGAGGGGGAATTCTCTGAAATCAGTGATAAATGTTCAAAAATAACAGTATGTGCTGCTAGTTCGTCACCAAAAAATGATTCACCATTGAAATCTAAAACATTACACAGTATTGACACAATTATGTCCACTCATAAGCTCGAAGAAACCAATAATATTCCTCAGCAAACTGAATCTTGTGTGCCTTTTTCTGCAGAAGTATCCTTGTTGGAAGCACGATCATGTGCTTCTGAGAAAAGAATAGATCGTGAAAATCCTCTGCAAGCAAAGGAAGCAAGTTCTGGTTCAGAAGTTAAAGGAATGGAGCTTGTTTCATCTGAGTCTTGTTCAGAGACATTAGAGGATAAGGTACATAAACTATCTCGAAATGAAAAAGAGGAGACCGCTAATCCATTGCTTTCAAAAGAAAAAACAAATAAAGGATCAGATAAGACTGTTTTTGAAGGATTCTCATCTAGTATTTTTGGAGAGAAACCTGCTTTCTCTGATGCAAAAAAGGAATGTGGCAAAAATATTAGTTCCCTGGTAAAGAGTTCAGGCCTTCAGAGTCAAGTTGATGTAAAAACCAAAGGAGATTCTGCTGCTGAGCAGTCCAAAACTTTTAATGAGGACAATTCCCATGTGAAGAAATTTAAAAGTGAAATTCTTGCCTCTGGTGAGAATACTTCTAAATGTGCCCAAAGTGACATAAATGGAAAAAGCCTAGAGACCAAGGAACTGAATTTATTTAGTGAAATATCAGGTGGTTCCAGTGTAGAGAAGGAATCTTACAATGATGCAAAAAGGAAAGGTACTTTGGAAGTGTTAAGTACTGAAGATTCAAATAAAAAAACATCTGTTGGAACTAGTGACTCAGCTAAAAATAACCCCAATACAAAAGAGAGGAGTACAAATCATCAACAGTTAAATACTGTTTCTGAGGATAGGGAGAAAGCACCGACTTATGAGAAGAAAGAAAAGAGCGATAGACCACCAAATGTGTCTTTGGGGAATGAAGATCAGAATGTTAGAGCGGCGTGTGAGGAACATCATGATGGAAATAAATCTAAAATTGACAGTGCTCAAGGAAAAGAAATAATTCATAAAAGTGCCGATGGTATTGCTGCTAAACTTTATAAAGAAAATAAATCTGAAACTTTAAATGAGGAACCTTACGCTTTGGCAAGTTCTTCTCAAAATAAAGGAGTTTCACATGTGTCAAAACACCAGGCAGCAATAAAAGAACCAAAATTGGAAACAAATCCCTTCATTTCTCTGACAGAAAAGGGGGATTTAGTGTCTCCTGATAAGTGTTCAATGAATGAGAAACTAAGTGCTACGAAAACAGATTCTGACCAGCAACTAAGGCATCACATTAGGAGTTCTTCATGTGTTAAGAGTTTGAGTTCACTTGGTCAAAAGCCATTGGATTCCAATACATCTTCCAGTGATCTAAAAAAGAATGTTAATAAACTTGTGAAATCAGAACCTAAGTTAGATGAGAAACCTGTTATTTCCATTTTAGCTGCTGTTCCATGCCAATCATCCTTATCTGCATGTGAAAAACCCATTGAAGAAAATATTACAGAACATGAAGACAGACATCCAAAAGATTCACCTGAAGATGAAGTATCTTTAGCTTTGGGAAAGTGCATAGAAATGAATGTGAGAAGTGATGCAAGAAATGAAGCTAAAGTTTCTGAAATAATGAATTTAAATACATTGCTGGATGGGTCCAAACAAAAACATGAAAATGTTGCCTCATCAGAGGAAAGCAAAAGTAAATTGCCACATTTATTACAGTTACCAGAAAAAACTATTGGTACCAAAAGTATGAATGTTTTGAAAGTAGACAAAGTAAAATCATCCTTATCATTAAATGTGGCCCATAAACACATTGGAGAAAGGGCAGATAAATCGGTGGAAAAATGTACTTCTGATTTTAGAATGAACGAAGAGGAAAAAAAGACATTGCTTGATATGAAATTAGGAGGGGGAATAAGTTCTGCAGTTTCTGAAAGTAAACTTTCACCCATGACTTCTGATAGAGAATTTCAATGTATGAAAAGTCAAGCACTGCATTCAGAACCAAAAGTTGAGGACATATCTTCTGATCAAACAAATCTCAATTTAGGAAAAGATGATTCTAAAAAAGGGACAGAATGTATTGTTAGTAATGTTGGTTGTAAAGTAAAAACTGCTGAAAAAATTGCAGATATTAGTGCTTCTATTTCAAAATCTACTGGGAAATTTCCTGACAAACCTACTTCTCCTGCTTCCAGTTCTCTTCTCAAAACTGAAGTGGACAGTTCCATTAAGATATCTCTAGAAAAGACTGTTGGTCAATCTGACACTATCTTAAAAAAGAAAGGTGATGTTATAAGTACTACAACATGTGAAGATCAAGTTAAAATGACACTTTCAAGTACCTCAGCAAGCCTGACACAGCAGAAGTCTATTGAAAATCCATCCCAAATCGAAATAAAATCAGTGCTTGCTTCAGCGGATGCTCATGGAAACAAAACATTTCCTAAAAATGAAAGTGAAATTGTAAGAAAGACATCCCATGTTGATCACAGCAAATCTCAAAGTGAACATCTTGGTGAATATTCTAAAACGGCATCTGATCCTGCTTCCACAAATGAGGCTCTAACAAGTAATAATCCTACCAAAGAATGTCATGAAACTGTATCAAGAAAGGGTGTTAAAAGCAAATCTCTGAATTTATCAACTGGTGTGGAGTCTCTTAATAATTCGGTAAAAATTACAAAACAACATGATTTGCCTAAAGAAACCACTACTCTTCCTTTTGGTGCAGACAACAAGCAAGGAAAAGCCGATGTCAGTGTTTCAAGTGAAGTAAATACTGAGTCTGTTTGCCCTTCATTGAAATCATGTGAAACAAAAACTAGTAGCATTGTAACTCCCAAAACAAAAGCTGACATAAGAGATCATTCAGAAGGTAATACTGAAACAAAGAAAATTGTCATTTCTGCAGAAAAGGATTCTTCCTCATCTGATAATTTTACCAAAAATGCTTGTGAAAATATTATTAGTAATATTCCTAAAGACGAACTTCAATCTAAATCTGAGAAAATTCATTGTGTTAAAGAAGCTGACATACCTCTCCTTTCTGCAAGTGTAATTGCAGATATGAATACTGAAGTTGATAAAAAACCATCCACTTCAGTGCAGGAAGCTAAAGAAAACCCTTCTTATTTTCATGATAAAATTAAATGTGAATTTGATTCATCTGGTGAAATTAAAACCAAACTTCCTTGCTTGTCTCCTAAGAATAAAAATCAGGTTGAAAATGTGGTCTCAAAGAAGATTGAGCCTATTGTGTCCGAAACTATTTCTGATAGTAATACAAACAATGTTTGTAGTGCTATAAAATGCGAAACAAGTGAAAAGACTGAAAGAAAATCTCTTCTTTCAATAAAAGATGGAGCAAAGATTCCTGAACTAGATAGTAATACTGTTAACTCCTCTTTGCATAAAGATGATTCCAAAGTTTCAGCAAACAAAAAGGATAAAAATGAGCCAAGAAATCAAAACAGAGAAGAAAGAGCAGACAACAATGTTCATTTACCAGATGATGCAAAAATTACGATAACTGAAAGAAATTTAGCTGTTTCACCTTCTGAGTCTGAAAAAAAACCACTGCAAAAATCTGCAACCAGAGAAGAAAATGAAGAAACATTTCAGAGAGAAATACAACCAAATGTTGAACAAATATCTTCAATTGCAAAGAAAATTATAGATCTTTCATCTGCTCCTAAAAAAACACTACTCAAGTCTGGGTTAGAAAAGAAAGTAATTAAACATGATAAAATAACAGAAAAGACTTTTGATGTAGGAAAATTAACACCAGTCTCTGAAAATTTGAGTGAATGTAATAATTCCAATGTGTTAGAGAAAAAGCCAGATAATGTCCAAAAAGAAGAAAAGTTAGTAATTGTATCCCAGGAGAATTTATTAAAGAAAAATATTAAGGATACAACCGATCCCAATGATATTTCTCATCTTCCGAAGCACAAAGATATGAGTGAAGTTGTTCCAGATCTGGTTGGACATAAGATAGGAGAAAAAGCTGGAATGGGTTTGCAAAGTCAAAATGTGGATAATCAGAAGATGATAACATCTTCCAAGGCAGAAGAAACAACCGCAAGAAGTTCTCATTTAGAACCGAAAAAAAATCGCTCGCCCAGTTTTAATGAAGGAAGTCAAAAGGGTGTTGTGGAAGATACAAGAACAGTAACAGCTCAATTAGATGTCCCTTCAGATCAAAAAATATCTGAGTTTTCCTTGAGCAAGGGCAAATCACATCTCAAAGATGGAAGTGCTCAAGCTGTAATGAAAGAAATGCCCAGTGCAGGTGATAAACATCATGAGAAGGGTATACCGGGGTCGAATATTGTGCTACTTCGCTCTGATGAGGATTCATCAGAGAAATGTACACAAAATGTCAATGATACTGAAATATCTACCAAGCCTCTTCTAACTACTGAGGCGATAAATTCATTTCCTGACACAAGTACTGTGCAAAACTTTGTGACAGTTGATAAACCGTGTGAATTGCAGAGTCCAATCAAAGAATCAGTGAAAAATGTACCTTCTAAATCTTCAATTACTAAACCTTCAACAATTTTGTGTAAAGGGAAAAATGAGTTTCAAAACAAAGGACGTCGAAAATCTCTTGAAAGTATTTCTATGGGCATCATGATGAGGAAAGCAGCAAAAAGTAGTCTGCAGGAACCTGTGAATACTGGTGATGGAAACCTAGAGGAAGAAATTACTAAACTTCCTGAGTCAGCCCCAACTAAAGAGTCAGCCCCAACAAATCAAGTTAAACTTGTAAAGCCAAGTTCATCAAATCAACAAAATGAAAGTCAAAATGTGAAATTTGAATCCCATAAAATCTGCATGGAATCTGACAAATTAGATTCTTTGACTTCTGGATCTAATGTACAAGGCAATGATAGCAAAGCTTCAATTCAAAATACATTAGAAGTAACTCAAATTACTGAACAGGTTACAAAACTTGAAACGTCAACTGAACAATTGTCTGAAACAGAAGGGATGAAAATGGTCCAGGCAGATGTGCTTGAAAAGAAAAAATCATCATTGGTTGTACAAAAAGTAGATGACCTTGTGGTGGAGGCTGATCAGATACCTGACACAGTAAAAAGAACTGAAGAAGTAGAAAAGAAAGAAGCAACAGAGTTAATGCCTCAAAAAGATACAAGTGTTGAATTGAAACAGCAAGATATTCCTGGAGAGCATGGTGGTGCTGCTTTTTATCCAGAAGTTGACAAAGCGCCTGATAAAAACAAACAAGATACTATTTCTGCTTCCAGTGAGAAATTAGACACTGAGGACTGTAAAAATTCTAAAAGCAAACTTAAAAATACTGAAAATAAACTTGATGGTGACAATTTATTTCCTAAAGAAAAAAATAAGGAGGATCCTTCCAGCATTAAAGATTCAAGTAGCATTGCCCTTGCAGGAGTAGAAAGCTCTGACAAAGAATCTCATGAATCATTAAATACTCTTCAGTTTGCTGATATCACAAAACTATCAGTGAATAAAAAACAGGAAGAGATATCATTATTGAAAGAGACTGTTGTTACTGGTGAAAAAACTCCTTTAGATCCAAGTGACCCGCAAAGAGATAGCATTCTGAATGTAGAGATAGTGAAAGAGGATAATTTTGCTACAATCAGTACTGAAAGCCAGTTAGAAGAGACTGGTTCTCCCAAAGTGGATATTCCAGATACTTCTGTAACTGGATCTAAAGATGTTGTAGCCACTGAACAGAGCAGTGAGGAAGATGTTGCAAATGATGATTCTTGTTACATTCCTGATAACGACAGTCTTGCGGATCAAGAATCTGATGACAATAAGGCTGCCTCTCCCAGTAATCAGAAACATGATCAAAAAGATGAAGAAATACAACGAGGGAAACAAAGTCCGGTAGAGGAATCACTTGTGCTTGAGGAAACAGGAGGTGCAAGTAGTTCTGAGGGAGAACAAGGTGGAGAACCGGATGGGTCTTCTTATGAAGGTGAAAGTGAAGCAGGTGCTACAGGAAAACGAGGAGGTGCGGTTACTCAACCTCGTCAGAAAAGTGGTCGTGGTCGTCGAGGTCGAGGTCGTGGATCACGTGGTCGAAGTAGAACTCAAAGAGCAAATACTGGGAAGAGTGCCAGCCCAGTTCCTACTGGGGCGTCAGAGGATGATAAAAAGGAACTAGAACCTATTACTTCTGTCACTCCTACAAAAACTAAAGGAAATCGGGGAAAACGAGGTAAGCAGCGTTTAATGTGAAGTGGTAAGTCATTCTTTGAAATCATTTTATTTCTTCTTATCTTTCCTTTTTTTGCACAGCTCCTAAGTTAATGGGTCTGGATTTAGGCGTAGATATTGTTCTTGAACAAAGTCGTGGAGATGAAGAAGGAAGACCTGGTGCTCCTCCTGTTCGTCAGTCACGACGTATTGCACAAATGAAAATCCGAGAAGAAGCAGAAAGACGTAAACTAGAAGAAATGACTTTGCAACAACTTAAGGAGGAACAAAGTCGAAGGCGTGCTGATGCTCGAGCTGAGAAAAAGGTATTTTCTTTGTTCAGTGTTTTTCATTTTGACTACAATAACAAATGAGTTTTATCCAGAATAAATGAAAATGACTGTTTTAATGTATGAATTTTTTTTCTGAAAGCAAGACGGTCCAAAAGTAATTTTTAAATTTCAATAGATTCTTGATAATCGTGTTAATAATAAGACATGTTATTGCAATGCTTTTTCCTCTTCCTTCTTCTGTTTTCCGCTTCTTCTTCCTCTGCTTCCTCTTCTTCTTTGTTTTCTTCTTCCTCTCCTTTTTCTTCTTTTGCTTCTCTTTCCCCACCAAATGAAAAATATAGTGTTTTTTTTAAGTTCTTCTATGAGTAGTTGTGTGTGTACATGTATGTGTTTGTACATGTGCCTATGTGCTTGGGACCGTGGGTAGGTTTGATTCCGTTCATCTCTATGAGCACGTGCATTTCCACATGTACATGCATGTTTTGAGTAGTATGTATATGCTAGTAAGTGCACCTGTACGGTTCTGCAAACATTATACAAACACATATTTGTATTTCACTGCCAGGTTTCTGACAGATTCAGAAAAATGAATTAGTTTTGAAAAATGTGCTCAATCACTGAGTACTGTTTGTGATAGTTGAACTCCTAAACATAAATGGCTGTAGATTGAATGAACACCATGGATTCCCAATAGGATTGGTATCAATCCCCTGGGGGTTGTTGAAATTTTGAAGATCAATGATGATCAAGGTGTTGATTGGGGGTGTATTGCAAATGTGATCCAGTGATTGATAGCAAAGAATAAAACAAAGTCCAATCCAAGCTTATTTTCTCCATTTCACTATTCATATTCTTATACCAATTACAATTAAAACTCTTAATTTCATGTTAATTGCAGATTGGGGCCCAGGCATATAAATAAAAAAGAAAAAATTTTGTATAGTTTCTAATAGAAATTATTGTTTATAATTTCTTTGTGTGTATTAACGTTATTTTTGTAATTCTTCAAGTACCATTGCAAAGCATTTTCAAACATGGGTAAGAGTGAATGTACTGTGTTGAAAGTTGATTAGATTAGAAGATGATCCTGAAAGCATGTAGGAATAGTGCATGTATGCCCAAAGAGCAAGGCTTCTCGAAAGGCAACCTGTGGGCCACATCTGGCTGGTTACTTAATAAAAAAAATTGCATCTTCTATTCTACTAACACTTAAGCCATCACTTAGAAAGCTCTTAAGCAAACAAGGAGAGGGAGGGAGAGAAATATTACATGAAAACCCTACGTATACTCAGGCTTTTATGTTAAGAGATGAAGGAACACTTTAGCAGATGAAAGACATTGGATTTTGGCAGAATTAACTTCATATACTGGTATGTCTGCATTGACAATGTTCCACATTTTACGGAATGCCTTGAAGATGGCCATGGTAGGTGCCACTTGCTTTAACTAAGGAGCAAAAATGGAGACGTTACAAAACACGCTTTATCAATCTGAAGCAATTTCAACATGAAGGAAATGAAATGTTGAGTCGCATTATTGCAATTGAAGAAACATGGGCACGAGCATATGAACCAGAACAAAAGACTATCAAATGATGTGTGTTATCCAGTTTGTGAGGGTCAAATTGTCAGTGCCACGTAGTACAGATCATTCCTGCTGCACACTGCGTCATACACTGTGGAAGAAACGTTCAGGGCTTCTCAACAATGATCTTCATTTACCCATCGTTAAATGTCCCTTACCCACAGCACCTTGAAACCCAAATCCCAATTTAGGACCAGCATTGTAAAGAATATTCCAGCAACTTGCAATCGTGAATTTTGTTTCCTGCAGCTTTATTGATTGATAAAAAATAGTTGGCATGACTTCCGAAATAATCCTCATACTTGTAATGGCAAATGTGTTCACAGAAGCATAATTCAATGATTGCCCATGTCTCATCAATTTCACTGTGGCCTTGGCTGAATGGGTGTCATATGAAGTGTGAAATGACTTTTTAAGTGTACTAACTTGTGCTCAAGTTTTCTCGTAGGCTATCTTGATACCTAAGTAGTGCAAAAATTTGCCAATTTTGACTGACCCTTTGAATACATGACAAAAAAGGCCGTCTTACAGTTAGCAGCAACACTAGGTGTTATGATGTTATCCACAGTGCTAGAAATGGCCACTGCTTGCTGTACAGCTTGACTGGCAGTGCTAGTGGATACTTGCTAGTTAGAAAGGTGCCTTTGGGGAGCTTCCTTTCACAGGGTAAGGATTCCCCACCACGCTAGTTGCTCTTGACGGTCATGGTTTTAACCCCCCCCCCCTCCATCACCAAGTTTCAGTTGCCAGGTGATAGTGCAAGCCGCATGTAGGTAGTGGTTGGTTTCCTGTAAACAACTACTTGAGACTGATGTAAGCTTTCCAACAAACCAACATGTCAAGGAAAGGGAATTTGCCCTAGCTGTGTGCCTCCAGTGAACTTCATTTTGGAGTGGTTTTTGAGGTGCTGGAGGAAGTTGGCTAAGGCATAAGGACTGTGTGTTCACACTACTATCATCCGTATACCACATTCCAAAGAGTTGGTTTAAGTGGAATAAATATTTTCGAAGGCTTTCAAGAATAATTTTGCTGCCACAAGAGAGAGAGGGGAACATCCCTTGTCCCATGGCCACCCCTTCTACTCGGATAACCACTTGGCCTCATGTCCACATTTTTCTGGTATACCAACTGGAGTTGCAGTGAAAGGTTATTTTATTCTTTTTGACTCCCCACAGCTGTAGAATATACTTTGGGCACACTGATGATAATCCCATGCTTGCCCAAAAGGGTTTCTAATGATAATGAAATGAATGTTAATGTAAATTTTCTCTTTTCATTAATCTCTTCAAACACACTGAGCCCCATAAACTCTTGCATTAATTCTAAATATCGTATGTTAAAACTTTGCTTCACATCTTCAATCAATTGCTTCATTGATCAGGTGTTGAGAAGATTAACTATATCCTCATTGCATATTACAGCTTCTTTTATGGTATGTTGCATCTATAAAAAGCCCATATTAAAGTCCATATACCCTTTGCAGCAATGCCTCTCCCTACCATGACTTTTTCTATAGAGTGGTGAAATTATGTTAGGAATTTCCTTGATGGTAAATATTTTCCATCTAGAATCTATTGATTTATTGTTTACAAGTCAAAAGTTCTCAACATGAATTATCTGGTAACAAATCTTTTCTCCTTTCCTTCTATAATTGCTGATGTAAGCTTGCTCATTGCCATTTCCAACTAATGTTCTTCACTGCTGGTTGATCTCTGCAAAGGTCACCTGCGTTTATTCTGAGAAACCATTACTGGACAATGAAAACCAGTATAATACTGTTAAAAGTCTGTTGCAGTTTTATGTACAGTCATGATTAATAACTTCTTGAATGAAGGTTCAAGATTTTGTGTCTGTTTGAGACGTTTTCTTTAATTTCACTTGTAAGTTTCGCTTTTGTTGCTTAGAAACTCGGCCAATAGCTCTGTGATACTTAAAGAACTTGTGGCAAAGCATATGAATTGAATGATAGGTATCATTGTTCTCTCATTGACTTAGGTATTTGATCAGCGATGTACCGCATACCTTAACATATTATATTATAACATAATTGTTTAACATACTAATTTATGATATAGGCTTCTGCAGTAACGTGAGAGGCTGTCTGGGTGATGTGGCTTTACAGGTTCTGATACCGACATTTTGACCATCATGTCATGGACTTCCTCATGAACTTCAGCCATGAGGAAGATTAATATGTAGGTAGAAATATTGGTATTGCAGCCTCTGATGTGGTCACCCAGTCATTCATTATTCCAGTCATCCAGTGATTAATCTTGTACTGTGCTACAATATGAACAACTGTTGGTTATTTGTTGTATCATTTTAATAAATGAAAATAAAATAATTGTTTGGTCCTTTAGAATATAATATATAAATAATATGCTTGGAATGGATATCATCAGTAGCTTTAGGAATAGTTAATACAAAATATCACTAATGTCTGCAATGCAGTTAAACAAAATCCTTCATATGTTTCAATGAGCCAATTTTTTTATAGTAATGATATTTTTTACCAATTGCAGGAACTCAAGGAAGGGAAGAAACGAAAGAAAAAAGCTGTAAGTATTGTTCTAGTTCGAAGAAATCTGTGGATACTTAGTAAATTGATTTGTTCCAAATGATAATGGTTAATTGGAAACTTGTATTTTTTACAAATGGTCTTTTGCCTCTTTATCATTTATTAATCATAGGTTTATCTTACTAACAGATTGAAAGTGATGAAGATTTCACTGCAGAGGAAGCTGATGAAGAAGCTTCTTCAAAGAAAAAGATGAAAAAGAAGAAACGTCGAAAGAAAAAACCAGCTCTAAGTTTTAATGAAAGTAATCCATGGCAATCATCATCTGGATCTAGGTAATTTTTGCAGCCAAGGGTGATAGGAAACTTTTCATGATATCAATACTACTGTCAAGATGTGAGAGGAATTGTACTCCTTAACGAAAAGCAATACCAATACATTGTTTGAGCCGTTAATTTCAATGTTATGGTTAAAAAAATATTAAATAGAGAAATTTAATTAAAATTTTGCTGTCAAAGCTGAAGAGGTAGTCTACAAACAAACAAAAATTTTCATTCTCTAAATAGTGTTTATTATATTACATAAAATTGGACACAGAATGCCAAAAAAATAAAAGAAAGCAAGTTTCTGTGACAAAGTACCTCAGTCTCTGAATTAAACAAGGAGAAATCATCTGGTGAAGTGTCAGCTTGCAAACAGTTGAGCTCCCTCTCCTATTTTCATCTGGCCATCATCTACATCGTTGATATTAATTTGTGTACAATAACAATAAAAATTTTAATTTTTTTAAGAAACTGAAAATTTAATGAGACAAAAATAATAAAATGAATTCTTCTTAAAGTAATATAATATAAAGAATGAATATAAAATACAGAAAAATCAATTACACAACAACAAAAGTCAAAACATTTAACACAAAATCAAAATAAGAGATCTGATCTTGGAAATTTTCTTTAGAAAAAGAAAATATTCCATACTTTTTCACCTCCATTTTACATTCAAGGTGGAATGACAAAAAAATACCTACTTTTAAAAACCAAAATCTTTAAAATGCAACTTCATTTGTGTCATAATTATTAATTATTGTTGCTTCATTTCTGTTATCAGTTTCTGAGAAACTTTGTTAAATTTGCACACATAACCAAGTTCCAAATTTATCATAATTAGTGTCAAAAGTTTTCTTGGAGTGTTAACTGAAAGCAGTCGAAACATGCTGTAAGAGTACTTTGGGAGCAGAATTTGTTGATTGTCCTCTTCAGGAAGCACATTAATAGTAAGATTGAAATGAAGTAGTTCCTATTAAACCAGTGATTTTATGAAATTAATATAATTACCTGTACCTGTGTGTGGCATAATTCTATTGCACAACTTTTTTAAAAACAATAACAGTTATTGCTTAAAAGAAAAGCTTACATGTAAGCAGTTCTTGATACAATACTAATGTTTATCTTGAAAATTATATCTGATCAATGTTTGGCATCTTTAGAAGTTGTAAAAGTTTCAATTATCATATTAAATGTAAATATTTTAGTACATCTCAAGAGGAAGATGAAGAGGGAGAACAAACAGAAGAAGAGGAAGATGATGAAGAATTGATTTTCAAGTCAGACCATGAATTCTCCCCAGAATCTGATTTGGAAAATGATGGCACTGAGGTGACTCCTATGCGAAGAGCAAGAACTGCTCAGAAAGGTACTGTTGAAATTATGATATTTAGTACAGTTATATAGCGATTATTACAAGATATAAATGATACTACAATTGTTTCAATTTTTATATAAAGTGCAAATTATTGTTTTTTGTTCAATCGAGATTTTTTTGAGGGAACTGATAGGTTCAGGAGTGAAAATACAGTATTTACCCTAATATTAGTCGACTGAATATAAGACAATCCCCTAATTTTCAAGAGGCCTCCTGAGAATTTGTAAAAATTAATAACTAATTTTTACTATACAGTCAAAATAAAATTCCAAATTGTTTTACTGACTAGTAAAATTGCCTTGTTTATGAGAATGTTAAAACTTATTGTTGAACTATCATTTTCTTGTTCCTTAAAATCATCATAATTATGGTTTTGTCACTACCCTCATCATCTTCACATGTATAATGTTTCTTTCTTTTTGCTCCTCCTTCCATGCTACGACAACTTCTGACTTGATGCTCCTCTTAAAGTTTAGCGCATAGAATTTGGATTGTTTTAAGTCTTTCATCAGACACCACCTAAGAACATTCCCTTCTGTCACCAGATTTTCTATCTGTCCCACACTTGTTATGGTCTGTTTCTTTAACAGTTCAAAACACAGATTCACTCATGCTGGTTGGACTCTGGTTGAACCAAGAGTCCGCACAGCTTTGTCAAATGCATCATTACAGAATGCCATTACAAAATTCATTTTCACATTACCTTTCATTTGATACAATGCCATTTGTTTGAGATTCTTTCTTTACCGATCCATTAGAAATATATCATTCTCAATTCCTGACAAGTGGATGCTGAGAATACGACCGCAAATATAATATTACATATTAAAGATATGTGTGATATTATTACCATCTTCACAATTTATTGTTATACTAACATTTATGAGTTTCGTGGAGGAATGGCAGTGTTAACTGCCTTGTTTATGAGAATGTTAACCGACTAGGCGAATCTGCGAATATAATATGACGATCCCGCATTTTTCAATTGAGAAAAGATGTCTAAGAATGAAAGGAAGTTCAGCGGGCCAAATAAGTATCATAAAGAAGGTTGAGAGTTTTTGAGAAAGAATGTGTTGTGAGTAGCAATTATAGAAGCAGAAAAATGCCAACTTAAAATGAAATGTATTTCAAAACATTGAGTCTAGAGTGTCTTAATGATGAAACAGAACAGAAAGTGTTGGTGCAGGAGCCCACAATAAACAAACAATTGAACAGAAACAAAAATCACAGAGCAGTCGGAAAGAATATAATATAATATTGTGGGTTATATTGCATATTTTCAGCACTTCTTGAACTCTTGCTGGTATGAGCCAACTTTCTAAAAGCAATGTTGATATTAAGGAATAGGGGAAATTGTTTCGTCTGGAAATTCTTAAATTATAATTTTTTTTAGTGGTATCTTACAGTGAAGACAGGTAATAATGGTAGTCTGGAGTGGTGATACTGCTGATTTGTTAAGTAAGGTAAATAACATTTGGGAGAATAAAATTGTACAAAAGATTTTATCACAGGCGACATCAAATTCCCCTCATAAGGCAGACTTCATGTAACTCGCTATGCATTTGTATGACAGATGGAGGATTGAAACAGATGGTCAAGGAAGATGAGCTGTTGAAGATGAGAAGAAAGTAGATCAAAAGCAGAAGAAAAAAAAATATGGCTCAATCTGTGTCAAGGGATTAGTAAAAGTAGGAAAATGTGAATGAAACTGCAAATGGTAAATTTTGAACATATAATTTGAAACTTTGGTTACATTATTAACAGTTGAGTCTGTTCCTGAGCCAAAGAATGCACAGATATTGGATACATTATTATAATGGTAAAATCGGTAGATTTCATTTAGTGAAGCAAAGCTGATAATTAAATTGAACAAACCATCATGTGGAAATAGTTTCACAAAACTGGAGATTTTTTAAAAACTTCTGGAATTTTTGAAAAATGCAATGGTAAAATTAGTTAATATGTGTCTGAAGCAAGGAACTGTCAGGATTAGTTTGTAGCTTCTTTTCCCTAGGTCAGTTTTTGGCCAAGCCTGAAGACTACAGGCAGATAATTATGCTCCCTGTAATTGAGAAGGTTTTTGAGAGCGATGAACCAAGTTCTATGGCAATGTTTAGAGATGAATCACATTATAAATGAATACCATTGTGGCTTAGCCTTTCTTTGAGGTGGTGATACAGTTGGGATTAAAAGCCCAGCTGGAGAAGAAAGATCATCACAATCTGTGCTCTATGTCATGAACTTAAACAGAGTGGAAATATCAATGAATTTGTTAAAGAATCATTAGAAGTAAGGGAAAATTTTGAGATTGTTATAAAACTAGATTGATTCCTTCAAGAAATGTACAGTTCTTTTCTTTTCTTTTAATTTAAAAAAAAATGTATTTGTACTTCACCGCACCGAAATCAAAGAGCTGACATATTAGTTTTGGATTGACTTATATTTTCTTTAAATATTGTAAAATATTCTACAAATCTTATCAGTGAAAACAAAATTAAAATGCTTGGGAAAACCTGGAAAAGTTAGGGCAATTTGTTTCAGGAAATGAGGGTCATCCTGTTCAAACAAACATTTAAGATAGTAGATCAAAGGTTGTTAGAAAAGTTGTGGTGCTATGGTGTGAGAGGTAATGTTTGCAAAGTTACTACTTGAAAGTTCTGAGTGGGGGTCTTAACATGTAAGGAGTGGCGTAGTAACGTAAGGGTGCCTCATAGGAGGGGTTTAGGTCCTATGTAATTTTTGATGTTTATAAATTATATTTTGATTTTGGGGAAGATGGTATAATAAATAAATTGTTACTTTCTGTTGTTGGTGATGAGCCAAATTGAATGATTCATGGAATGAAAAGTGAGTTAGCAATTCTGGATAATTGATAGTTTTATGTTACATGTATCAAAAACTAAAAGCATGTTCATAGGTATTAAGAGTTTGTGGTTTACTAGGAATGGCATACCATGTGTAATTGTGGTGTTAAAGAAAACAATGAAATTATTGAGATGGTTTCTGAGATGGGTGTAATGTTAAATAAAAGTTTAAAATTTTCAGGGCTAATGAATATGGTAAGGGGGGAGAGGCAAGAGCGAGCTTTATAGCTAGAGGCTTTAAATTGTGTTCCAAAGGCAGCAAAGTTTCAAATTATAATATTCTTTATTCCCTCTTTGAGTATTGTTCCTTTGATTTATGAGGCGTTACTAAAAATTATCGAATGAAGCACTTAGGATAATTTTAAGTAATCCCTTTTTACAGTTATGCAAATATTATATATTATACTAAAATATTTTCAGGATTGCCTTGTGAAGATGAAGAACAACCAACAGATGAACATGCTTGCCAGAAATGTGGGAAAAGTGATCATCCAGAATGGATCTTACTGTGTGACAAATGTGACTCAGGCTGGCATTGTTCTTGCTTACGTCCAGCTCTAATGGTTATTCCCGAAGGCGATTGGTTCTGTCCACCATGTGAACATGTAAATATTTTTTATTTAATTATAATAACAGGTGTAAAGTATTTCATATATCAGCATTTTATTAAAAGTGACAATGTGTGTGTAATATGATAGCTTCACTTCACAGTTTTTAGACTAGTCTATTTTATAAATTTAATACAGTTAGTTGTATGTTTAGAATTGTCTTTTAAAGTAATACAATAGTGTATAATTCATATATTGCCAGTGAAGAATTTGTACACTGTAACTAACCTCCTCGGCATCATTTGCATCCTTGACAAGGGGACCTTTTGTTTATGTGGAATATGTGAATTAACACTTGGCATTCGATAAATTAAATATCCTTCACTATCAAATGGTATGTCCTGTGAGGGGGATGGCAATGCATCAAAAACAAAAAATCAATTAAGTTAACATACTGTACACAACCCAACCAATAATGTGTAAACCATTGAAGTAGAGATCCACTAAACCAAAACCTTGCAATTTGCAGAGAAGAATGGAACAATTCACTGAATCGAAGGTCTTACTGAAGTCTGTATAAGTACTATCGACTTGAAAATTATCCTCCATTCCATTGAGTATATTTTGGAAAGTATTCTTTAAATTTTGGGGATACTTTACAAGATGCCCCTGGGACATTTTCGAAATTTTCTTAAAAATGGCTCCAATCCTTTCAATTTCTTGTAAGAATAGTGAAATTCACTGTAGGTCTGATTTTCTCTGTTAACTCTAAATTTTCAAAAATTTCAAAAGTTTGAAATTTTTTTGGTGTCTTCCTACAATTACAAAATTGAAGATGGAGATTTTTCCTTTAAATAAAATTTGTTCTTAATTTGTTCTTTCATTAATCTCCTGTTCATTTTTTTTTTGATTAGTAGTTTTTGTGCAGTATTGTTTAAAATATGTGCAATAATAAATATCTAAAACAAGAATTTCTCAAAAAAGGCCCCAAATTTTTTGCTTACACTTTGGTAAAGATAGTGCAAAACGTATTGCATAAGATAAAAGAAACGCCAATTTGTTATATTCTTTTTTTTTTCCTTTTTCAAACTTTATGAAAAGTATAATTTTTTGACTTGCCTCTTACCTTGTTAATATTTACATTAGTGTCACTTTGTTCACATCATTGCAATTATGAGTACATGTGCTTTCAATGATGTCATATGAAGTTTCTCAAAAACACTAGTTTTCGATGAAATTGAGCTCAAATGTCTCCATTTTCAGAAGTGCTCAAACCCGGCTTTTCAAAAACAGCTCCAAATCATTTCTTTAAACTTTTTTTGATGGATGGTACTAAATACTATTTAAGATGACAAAAAATCATTTTACTGTATACCTTTGTTGTTTTAAATTATGCAAATGTAATTTTTTTGAAGTGTCTCTCGTGCCAGTAATATGCACATTTCCAGCAATTTGTATACATTATTGCATTTGTGAGTTGAAATGCTTTAAATGACATCAAATGAAGCTTCTTGAAATCTCAAGTTTTCTTTATAAATAAGCTTCAAATTTTGCACATACGTGAAGGCTTAAAATACATTTTCTTAAATACGGCTTCACATTTTTCTATGAAAATTTCCATGTAGGACGAAGTTTTGTTAGCTGTATTCTCCATTCATGTACTAATTTGTTTTTCAGGATACGCATGTTCAGAGGTCCTTACAATGAGCATACAGCTGTAGGATGCTTTGGCCTTGTATTAAGCTTTTATAGGCAAAATATGATACTGCTTGCCTGGCTCGGAAAACTTTAATTACTAGTCACAATAGCAGCATTTCACATTGGTTTAATTATCAAGTTAACTAATAGGGAAAGTAATTATTATTAGGAAGTGTTTATTATTTAATTTTTAAATTTGTATGCTACATATTATTTGTGCATTGTGCAGTGTGGTTGTGAGGAAATGCTTCAATCCAGTGGAGACATTTCTTTCTAATTTCAAAATGTTCAAGATTATGCAGTAGTTTGGAAATAGGAACTTTATCAAATGCCTTGGGGAAGTAAATAGCAATAATTGGGTTATTGCAATCCAAGGCCATAGCCTAATCCTGAGGAAAGTAAGGTTTGTCTTGAGAAATAGGTTGATCTTCCAGGTTCAAAGCCATGTTAATTTGGTGGGTTACTTCAGTTGTCAAAGTGAAGTACTTTTTTAATGATGATTCTCTCAAAAAATATGCATATCAAGCTGGTCAAGCTTATCTGAACATAGTGTCTGCTAGCTTCCTTACTTGAAAGTGGGAGTAATATTGTCAGTTTTCCAGTTGTTTAATGATTTTGGACCTGCTTGTGGATTTTATTTAGTCTGAGGAACAAGTAAGGCATTAACTGTAGCAGTATTGAAAAACTGCCAAGTGCATTCAGTTTTGTTGCTATTGAGGAATTGCATTGGATGTGTGAGGTTGTTTTTCAAAGCCTTGAAGTAAGCACTCCAGTGTTTTTTCTTTTCTTGGGAGATTGACTCTGAATCTGCAGTTCGATTTGGTGTGCCATTAATAGAATGCTATTACTACCAATAGGTCTGAGAGTAAGGGTGTAGGTGCTGAGAGTAGTTTTATCATTAGTGAAGATTAAATATAAGATTTCTAGACATTATCGCTCTTTTTAAATGTTGTTTTATCTATTACCAGTTGGATAAAAAAGGTCCCTTTGAACACTGCAAGAAATTTCGTGATATATTAATCTGAAATAGTTTCCAAAGTAATGATGAAGAAACCAACTGTGTGAAATAAAAATCTCCAAGAATGCATATTGTGAGGATTGTATCAGATTTAGTTATCACATGAAGTGGAGGTGGAGGCCTGTGTATTGTATGTGGATATGAATATTGTGTAGCCTATGTTGTACGAGGCCAAAAATATTCTGTATTCTAAATCTGTTGTTTGTAGAAATTAGAGAATGTAGTTTGCATCTGTAGTTTTAAATTGTTTTTTCAAATTTGCAGACCTTTCTCCTTGAAAACCTCCATAACAATCTTCTGGAATTTGATAGAAACTGGAAGCGCCGAGAAAATGAAGAATTGCGTCGCAAAAGACTTGCATATGTTGGAATCAGTTTGGACAATGTATTGCCAAATAAAGAAGGCAGTGGAGGTAAGAGACTGGCTTTTAATTAGTGTTAATTGCATACTACTGATGACAATTCAAAGTTATAGTTAAAAATGATTCTGAATATTTATAAGTATATTTGTCTTGTGCTGCTAGTCAAATTGTAAGACATACATTTGGAAAATAAAAATTATCCTATTGTGGTACTTGTTTAAAGCTCTTTCAGTCTGATGAAAGAAAATGGATTTGAGCTACGATGATTATTATTGTTTTTTTCTTATGTGACTTCAACTGCCATTTAGTTAATTACCCTGGTGTAGTTTCATATGTTACAAGAGCTATTGTAATGCAAAAAAGCAAATTTAATTGAATAATTTTTACGTTCCTAGGTGAATCTGGTACTGAAATGAAGAAGGAACCTATAGCTGCATCACCATCTGGATCTGATGTATCAGGTTCAGAATCGGGAACTTCATCTGATGAAGACTCAGAACCTGTATATCAGTTGCGCCAGAGACGACAAACTCTCTTTAGTTATCGGTTTAATGAATATGATGATCTCATAAACTCTGCCATTCAGGTGATTAAAAACAGGAGAGCATGCATATTATTATTATTATTATTATTATTATTATTATTATTATTATTATTATTATTATTATCATCATCATCATCATTATTATCATCATATTGTCATTATTACCATCATCTTCATCCTCACCGTTACAGTCATCATCTTCACAATGACCTGCAGCAAAAGGCATTTAACTGTTTGACATTTTAAAAATTCCATTAAACCAGTTAGGTTTTTTCTTTTTCCTTTTCCCTTTCTCTTTTTCTTTTTCTTCTTTACATAGTTTGACTTGATCTTGAATGTTGAGACTTTCCTAATTTTCATGTGACTTCTAGACATTTTATCTTTTGTTCATTCCGTCTTCCTGGCTGCCTCTTCCAGCTTTAGGAATGTTTCTTGTAGGCCTTTAACAGACTTATAGGGAATCTTCCTAGGGTATTTGTCATAATAATTATGTCGTTTGTACTGGCCAAAAGTTGGGTCACTTTGTTAACTATTATCTTTATTCGTTATGCCTGAATCTTGTATTAGTTTTTCTAAAGCAACATTAAATAGCGTGCAGGACTATGTATATGCATCCGCTTGGCAGTCCTTTGTCTCTAAAACTTCCAAGAGTTTGTTCTGTATTTTTACTCTACATCTACCTCTTCCCAGCCATTACCCAAGATTTCTAAGTTAAAGTGGGAGACAAACTTGTTGTGCAAACAAACACTAGCACCTAAACTATTCACAAGATTTTTACCAAAACTAATGTTCCCCAATAGCTCTGGCTTATGTTTAGATTTAGATTTGAAACGGTTATTTTTATTTTTGGGGACTCTTTACATGAAATCTCAATGATGTTTTTAAAATTTTCTGCAAAAGGGCACCAAATTTTTTGTTTGATTTTTCTTCTGTTTTTCATTTTTTTCTTGAATTCAGTAAAGTATGCTAACAAAAATGGCACACATCTGAATCTCACTCTATGTTTGAAAATAGAAAAAGTTTTCTAAACTTTCAGTGTCTTCCTACAACTACAATGTTGAAGCTAAATATTTATTTCTTTACAAAATATTAATGAACGTAAATCCTGATAATGTTGATGATAAAAACAAGAAACACTTGGGAAATATATGTTTTTCGTATCAAAATCTGTCCTTCAAAATTAGATCTTTGTGTCCAATTTTCATCAAAACTTCACTTTTTGATAAATTGGATGTTCAACTTCCTTTTTGAAATGTCAGAAATAGTCATATGATAATTCAGGTGTTTGAGATAGCAAATAAGTGAAATGCTTAAATCTTAAGTATTTTAATTAAGATTAATAAGAATTAAGTATTTTAAGTAATCTTAAGTGAATTTTCAGTAAAACCTCTTGAAATTTTAGAAGACACAAATGTTCAACATTTTTTCAAATCCTCTCCACCAACTACATTATTGATGAAAGAAATTTTTTCATAATGAAATTAGTTTTTGAAACAGTCTTTAAATATTGTTGGGTACAATTTGTTCAAGGTCAGAGTAATTTATATGTAATTTTGAGTGAAGTCATGTTTTTTATAAATCATGTAGCATGGGTCTGGCTTTCATTAAAACTTGGAATTTCCAAAATTGCGCAAGTTTAAAATTTTTTCAGTACTATCCAACAGCTACATTATTAAAAATAGGTATCGCTTTCTTAATGCAATCTATCACTCAATTTTAGATCTGTAAATTATTTCATGCACTTTTAAATATTAAATTTCTTAAAATATTAGTAGGTTTCTCATAATTTTGATAGATTACCCACAACACTGAATTCATTACAGCATTTAAAATGCATAACATATAAAATAAACAATCCATAGTGTAGAGCAGCGTTTTCCAACCATTTTTTTTCTAAAATACTGGTATGCGTGATCATAACACACAAAATTCCACATAAATATCTAAAAAAATTTCGCATACCAATAATTTTGTTAATATCTCCATAACCAATAATTGAAGATGCTTCTGCTTCTGACTTTTCTAATCTTTTGTTATGCAAATGGTTACAATAAAATGCAGTCTGTTATGAATGATTTTTAAAACTGGCTGTAATATTTTATTGCACAATAGAGTAACATTTTGAATACATTGTTGTGCAATTTCCTGAATTTTCTAAATATTGTAATGAAGACGAAAGAAGATCAATTGATGCCACTACATTGCCTCTGACCGGGCTGTCCTAGGGTGTGAAAGTAGTTGGATTTTCAACGCTAGGCCAAATTCAGTCACTGTCTGGAGGAGCATTCTAGCTGCCAGCTGCTCCGTTCAGTAATTTTCCGTGGATTTTCTGATCAACACCAGGCAAATTCCGAAGCAGTACCCTATTAAATGGACCAAGGACCACAAGCAAACTCTCCTTCCTCTTCCTTACATCTCTAATCTCCCCTATCCTCACCCCCTTACTCACATTCACTTCCACTTCACATATGTCAGAAGACCAATTGTGAGCTCCCGGCTGGGGTAGTGCACCGTTGCAGGGATAGCCCCGCTGCTGGGAAAAACCTGGAAGCTGATGGGTAGGGTGGCAACCATCCCTCCTGGCTCACCATCCAGAAGGGAAGATCACTGCCACCTCCCACAGTAAAAACATGCACAACACATATGGGACTAATGAACTTAGCAGTCGAATTGCTTAGTATCAGTAATCAATCAATCAATCAGAAAGCAAAGAAACCATTTCATTAATATATGGTTTTCTAATTGAAGGGATCATGATTATACCACTCAGTCACTGGATCATATTTGGCTATTGACTTCCTCTCCCCAATCACCCTTTTGACTTCTTTGACCTCTTTTTAAATTTCATTTTAAAATGGGATCAGTATTGCCCCCCTTGGGAACCACTGGTTACAAACAATAGTTAAATTATTGTTTTTTGAAAAAGTGCATTTTCTGAAAGAGTGCAGCTTATTTACATGGGAAAGTTCAAACATTTGCCTTCCAGATTAAAGTAAAAATTGTCAAATTAATTCTCCACACGTGACAATGAAGTAAGCACAGCAGCCTCTTTCTATAAGTCTATCATAAGAACAATGACCTCAAATTTGCATTCCCAGTTTTCATTTTCATGCAAAGCACGTCTGTATTTTTGTTTTCAGTCCTATTTCATTTAAATTTCTCCTATAATTTTCATCTATTCTACTTAGCACTTTTCAAGATGGACAGAAACATGTTTTTTTTTAACAGTCTTCCTGCGCAGCAGTTTCTGCAAGAGTCTTCCATCTTCAATGTGTGTTATTTGTGTGTTGTATCAGAGAACGAAGTGGCACTTTTGGAAAGTATTCAGGGTCTGTTTGATCATGAGATATGACATGTATGTCTCCACCATCTTCGTTCTTTGTACATATTACTTTAAATTTGATATACCGAGGATTCTAGTTTTGTTTTGTTTTTCTGTTAATAGGAATTCTTTGTAGTTGTATATTTGCTTGTAATTTAGTTTTTATTCAGTAAATTATTTGCAAGTAAATAAGTTTATCCTGTGTACATGTGTGATATTTATTTTTAAAGTAGTTCACATTCCCTATTATAATGTTAATAAGAAGGAATTGTTCAAAGTATTGAGCATTTTTCAATTTTTGCTTACAAGATTCCATTGCATTTCTATCTAATTATTATTATTATTATTATTATTATTATTATTATTATTATTATTATTATTATTATTATNNNCTACTACTACTACTACTACTACAACAAAATGTTTGAGAAGATGAAGCAGTAATTTTACACTTTTATTTCCATGCTTGAGTACATAATTACTTTCAAATCATATGCTCTATCAGGATGAAATGGAAGCTGTGAAAGGAGCTGGCAATCAAGGTCGAGGAAAGGATATAGCCACAATTGTCAAAGCTGAAGCAGAAGCGGAAGCAGTAGCCCAGGCACAGGCTCAAGCACAAGAACAAACACACGCTGAGGAAATGCAAACTACTCAGGAAGTTGCAGCAACTCCTGAAGAAAGTGCAGTGAAAATGGAAGCAAAGGAAGAGCCCATCTCTGAAGAAATGGAGAAAGAAGAATTGCCGCCTGTTGTTCCCAAACATGATATTAAGGACGAAGAAGAGGAGGAGGAGGATGAATTCTGTCCCTTTAAAAAGTTTCAAATTAGAAAGAAACATCGTCGTCTCAATAGTCTTGATATCAGTAGTGAGGATGATGCTGAATCAGATGAAGACTTCAAGGGAACTAGGTAAAACCTTTGAGGAAATTAGATGAGTTTTGAAAGTTTTGAGAAAATGTTTTAAACCATTTTGATTGTTTTTCAGTTCAGAGGATGATGAAGATGAGTATGAAGGATCCGAAGGAGAGAGTGAAGATTCGGAGTTCAGAGGTCGTCGTGGCAAAGGTTCCCGCCGTCGTGCTTCTGGTCCTGTTCGAAGATCCAGTCGAGCTCGGATAACACGTTTTGATAAAGAATTTAGTGAGTTAAAATTAATTTTTCTTAAAATCTATTTTCTGTTTATTTGTATTACTTATTTACATGTGTTTAAAATTTCCAGTTAATGATGACAGTGAAGATAGTGAACCACCTAAGAAAAAGTCTCGGAAATTTTGGCAAGATTCTGACAGTGAAGATAGTGATGCATCATGGAGACGTTCAAAGCGATCCAAAAAGCAGGTTACTACTTTCAAAACCATTAAAACGAAAAGCAAAAAGAAAAAGAAAAAGAGAAGCAAACGTGATGGAGATTCCGATTTAGAGGTGTATAGAGCTAAGAAACCGAAAGTAAGTATTAAAAATCTGATATTGTATTCTATTTTTATGGTTTAAAAAAAAATATTTGAATTAAAATTAATATTTTTAATTTGCATACAGATAAAATATGGAGGATTAGAAGAAGACGCGGTATCCCCCACTCGAAGGACTCGTGGTCGTAAAATTAATTATCAGGAATTTGCAGCATCAGATTCAGAAGAGGTTTGCATTTTGATCATTGTATTTAATGTTTGGAACTTCACCCTGTATTGTATTTAACTTGACATGTTTGCATAGGAAACCTGGGGAAAGGTACGAAAGCTAGAAAGTGAGGATGAGTATGTTGCTAATGAAGAAGAAGATGAGGAGGAGGAAGATGAAGTGTTGCCTGAGCAAGAAAAGGACTCAGAAAATGAATCAGGTATTTTTCAGTCAACATCTATGAATGTTAAAATTTTGTGTTGCTTTCTACGGTATTTGTGCATTCTACAGTGCTTGGAATTACCTATCAAAATTTGCTCTTGATGCTTCTTATTTAATTGGATTTTTCCATCATCTGTTTGGTGGTTGTGTTTTTATAGTTTTAATAACAATTTTTTTGGAAATAAAAAAAATGACCCTTATGGATTCTATTTCCATATTAGTAGAACGGGATGGATAATACTTAACCCCATCAGTAGCTTGTTTGAATGTAAATTTTCTTTAAGTGTTTACACACACACTCACACAGATATATACTAAGTATTATTTAAACCTATACAATAACTCTGCAGTTCTTGTTCATAAGTTATGAAAATCTTCTGCATGGATTGCAATCCCTATTTCTAATATGTGTTGTGGGCTCTGGTGGTTTTTGGCCATCTGTCTGTGAACATTATTTATTTGTGTATTTATGAACTCGCAATTCCCCAACAATACATAATATAAAATGTCGGTAACTATTACTTGCAATAAATTATTACATTGAAATTACAAGGTATTTCATACTCATCATATCACATACTCTTCATGAAAATCATTTAACATTCTTTTAAATATCTATGTTGGAGTACATATTTACTGTATATTAAATTCATGTATTAACCCTTCAGTGGGCACACTTTCCTGTAACATATGCACGCACTGTGCCACTCAACAAAATTAAGTATGTAGGATTTTCTGATGCTTGAAAAGAGCAAGGAAAATGTTGTTAAAGTACATACAAAGTATAGACAAAACCTTTCAATTGTAAAATATATTAAATTATTGCTTTAAGAGAAAATATTGAATATTTTGTGAACAAAATAGAATGCACAGGTATAAGAACACATATATCAAAATATGTGTGAAGTATAGATAAGAGATAATTGAAATATTTCAACTAATACAATGTAAACAATTATTATGTATTCCAATATTTGCTTCTCAATCCTTCATTCAGTTGTTCATATCTTTCCCTTCTTTGGAGCATTATATTTATGTGAGCTGACGGCAGCTCTGAAGTTTGCACACAAAACCGAAACCCAAAGTGTGATGTACGATTGTTCTAATATTTTTATGTATTCACATTCTCGGCATGCTCCCCTTCCCACATCTACTTTGTTAAATTCCTACATATTCTGATTTCATTTTCCCCGAAATGCATCCAAATCTTTTGGAAGGTAATGTAATGTATGTGCTCAATTAGATTGCCAAATTCATAGAAAATTTACATCTGGAGCTATCTGCTTATTTGTGCTGAAAATCACCTGTGAATTTGTTATTGTAACGCCAATCATTTTAAAAAGTAGGTAAACATGCTATTTTCTTGTTTTTTTATTTCCATCTCGTATTTTTGGTCTACATTAACACCTCCCTTTGTTTCATTGCATTTGAGAATAATTGTTGACTTGCTTATTTTCTCATTAGTTTCTCCATTGTTGACAATATCTTTTTCTCTTTTGGATACATATGACACTTGTGTAAAGTCATCTTGACAACTAAACAGAGAAGATCCCACTTCTTTCGATTTGTTTGCATGAAATTTGTTTGGTGTTTCTCTTTAATTATTTTGCACTGTTCCCAAGAATGTGATTCATTGTTCAACAAATAGTCATTCAGGGAATAACTACTATAATAGTTATCAGTTGTGAAGTTGCTTAAGCTGTTAAGTTCATCTTTTCAGTAATTTTATTTTCCTTGAAAAATCAACCAATTTGCCAGAAGATTATTCCAGAAGAGAAGGAATTTCATCCTTACTGCATATTACGTGCATTGAATCTAACCTGCTGATTTATACTCAGTATATTTTAATTTCTATGGAAAAGAAATTTCAAGTAGATAGTATTTACACAGATTTCAGCAAGAATGTTTGACCTTGTCAATCGTTCTTTAGAATGAGAGAAATTAATGTAATTTGGTGTTGCTGGTCCGCTGCTTAACTGGTTTAGGAATGACTTATTGGTACATTGCAATATGTGAAATACAGAAATTTTGTAATAGAAGTGCACTTCAAGAATTGCATTTAGGCTCCTACTTGTTTATTAACGACTTATGCCTTATACTCAATGATGTTGAATTTTTGTTATTTGCTGTTGATATGAAGCTATATAAATACATTTCCTCTCATAAAGACATTATTGACTTGCAAAATGCCATTAATAAGATATGTGCTTGGTGTGTAGATAAGAACATTATTTTAATCCCAGAAAAGTATGTAACAATTAATGTTAGGCGTTCTAGAATTATAATTCCAAATCTTTATTTGGTCAATGGCAAAAATCTTACAAGTGTACACTCAGGGGTAATATTTGATGTTAAAATGAAATATAAAGACCACATATATAAAACAATCAATAAAATCTACTCAAATGTTAGGATTTGTCGAAAGGTCTTGTCATGAATTAAATTCAATTAGAGTACTAGAAACATTATACCTACTGCTCTTTAGACCCTTACTCCTCCCCCGCTTGGAATCCTATCTTTGATGTTCATATAAAACGTATCAAAATAGTGCAACATTAGTTTTTCAGAATGGCTGCTCACTATCTTAGTTTACTTGATCTCTCTTTGGATCATAATTATGAGACGATTTCATCAATGTTGAAGATCCCATCACTGAAATCATTGGGGAGAGAATTGAATGTTGTTAAGTTTATTTATAAATTGGTCAAAGGTAATATTTGTAGCCCTTCATTATTGGAAGAATTAAGATTTAATGTGCCAAATAGAATGAAAAGACAAGTTCTTCTACTATTTTACACTCAGATGTATAGTACTGAGTACATACTGTGAATAATCTCATAACAAGAATGTGCAATTTACGTAAACGTATATGGAATTGAATTACGCTGCATCTTTGATTTTGAAATTCAAATAAGTAACGTGATCTTAATTTATAAAGTATGAGTGTGACTCTTTGTCACGGCTACAATGAACCGACAGTTATAAACCACAAGAGCCTCATAGAGTTGTTCCACCTACTACTTTTGTAAAATTCTATTTACATATAATAAAGAATAAATAAATTATTAAATAAAATATATTAATAAATAAATCATATACATCACTTGCATTGAAAAGTAATTTTTAAAATGTATGAAATGCAAAAACGCCAAGGCTGGAAAAGTTGCGAAAGAAAAAGCTGGAGGAATAAATACTTCATTTGCAGGCGCGCAGCACAGGGTGCCGCCAAACCGACCTTTCAACTTGGTGCAGTGTTAATGAGTGACAAAATTATGAGAACATTTCTAACAAGCGACTTACATGTGTGAAATAAGCTCAAAAGAGAATATGCTACATATCTATCGGAATCAAGTGTCAACAATCACGCTGTCGCATCATAAGCAAAAGTGCTGCATTGAGTGTGCGCCCACTTAAGGGTTAACTTACACATTCTACATAGCAGTGTGTAATACAATTGATTTGTCTTAGCAAAAGAAATTTCAAAATTTACTTGTTCACTATTTCTCATACTAATTTTTGGAACTTTCCATTGAAGTTTAACAAATCGTTATATACAATCTATTATTATCAAAGAGATTAAATAAAAATGTTGCATCATGAAAATTTTGTGAGCTAATGTTCATAATAGCTACTTGACTAAAATTGTGGCTCATGCTGGGAGAGATCAGTTTCAGTTTCCATGCAAAAAAGTCTAGAAATTCACGTTGAGTTTTTCCAAGTTTATTAATATTATTTTCATAACCACACCATCAAAGCATACATTAGATTTAGTCTAACTAATGTTAGACATAGTTAATGATTTCGGATTTTTAAAATCTGTAGTTATTCGTTTTATAAAGTCCAGCATACAATCTGTTTTTGAAATTATTTCATCTATAGGATGAGAATAAGTTTAGGATCAAAAAGAACTCCCAATATCTCGACCAGCAATAGACTAAGAAAAGTTGATGTTATATCTCATTCTAGAATAAGTCATAATTTTACATTTCAAAGAATTCAATTTTAATTTATTGACAGTACGCCATGAAGTCAGTAGATTTAAGTTGTATTGAATTATACAGTCATCGATATTATTTATTCGAAATTAATAAGTCTGGAGTATGTTTCAAATTATTAACAAATATTATGAATTGTAGTGAGCCCAAATGTGAACCCTGAGAGAGGCATTCCATATGGCCCTGGGCCCAGTCTTGCATCTCAATTACCAATTTGTGAAAAAATATCAAGCTGAGTTATTTCCTTACAGGATATATTAATTAAAGAGTTGCCATCTATATTTCCAATTTTAACATCAGTATAATTGTTATCAGTACAGTCAACTCCGGTTATAATGAACTTGATATAGTTTCAATTCCACATAGCTAGATTAGAAACTGTTCAACATACATTCTATAAGAACAGCTTGGATTGTCTGATCCATTTAATCTGTAAATGCAAACGTTCAGAAGACTATTGAGTTTGTACCATCTCTATGCTCGTAGAGCAGTACAGTTCATCAGGAAGTCGATATCCAGACGTGTCTGCTCTTCTGTGGAAAATAAACAGTACCACGCCGTGGCATGCCTCATCCCAGTCTCCTCTGCTTGTGCTCAGTGAATTATTTCGTGGTCAGGGTGCCACAACCTCATGCGAAGGATGAGGCCATGACAGCAGGTGCACTGGAGGGTGGAGAGATATATTTAGTTCTCATTGGCTCTGAAATTACGATACCCTTTATTGCCAGTTCGAAATCTGCATTAACTATATCCAGTTGATTGTTTTGGAGTGGTGGTTCAGATTCTTTGCTAATCTCGGTAACTTGTGTTGTGAATTAAAGATAGCATGCCATCTGCTCCTGTCAGAGCTCATATGCTCCCTTTGCAAAGTTGGATTGCGAGGGAGACAACTTTAACTTGGAAAAAAAGTATTTTGCCAAGTTTGTTTAAAGCAAGTGAACTGTGCCCAAAAAAATTTCAAGTCCATCAACATTTGCAAACTGCATTTCAAGAAATATAATTTAACCTCTTCTAGACATGAGGCCAAAGGAAAATGAAAATGATAGCAATAAGTTCATCGAGGAGTTATGTGAAGCTTGTTGCATCTTATATACAATGGAGGAAGCTGGATAATCCTGTTTTTAGCTGTTTTTGAAGGACCAACAGAACAATTCCCAATGAGTCCACTTTACGAACAACATTAATCCACTCTTATCAAAAGTGCTCAAAGAAACGCTCTCTCTGCCTGTCCATCTATGTATCTGGGGGGGGGGGCTGTTATCGATTGCGAATTTCACCAGACGAGCGCCTCTCGAATGAAATGGTGTCGCACGTACTTTGTCCGAGTATGGAACGGTAAATTTTCGGCTAGGTTCCGAGACAAAGTGTCGTTGTATAGTACCTCACTGCTAAGATCCGCAGCCCGTCTTCAACAACCGCCTCAAATACATTTCCTCCTTAGCAGTCTCGCTTGAAACTCAAGAACCTCTTGCACGTGACCTGGCAACTCCGAATAGATTTTTTCGACGATACCGTTTGAATACACGGTCCTCACGTCTAACTGTCGAATTACCATGTTGTTACGAGCAGTAAAGCAACGGCGAGCCTAATGGAGCAGTCGTGCAACAGGTGCGAAAGTTTCGCTGTAATCCAGTCCGGGACTATGAGCAAAACCCCTCGCAACGACTAGCTTTTCTTCTATTTCGCTGTTAGCTCCAAATTTGTTCCCGAGAACGGAACGACTACCGATTACAGTTCTATCGCTCGTGCGCTCCAGGTCCCATATTTTGTTCTTTGTACAAGTTCATCTGCCATCGCTGACATCCATTCAGTTTTATCAGAATCTGATACAGCTGTAACTTACCGGAATCTCCATCAGACTGGAGAAATTCCTGTTGTTCGTCGCGCGTGTTACCCTTTTCACGGTCTGCCACGCTGTCCCGTTCTGTTTTTGGTCCACCCAGCCCGCGTCGTACCGATTGAACATCGGGTGCAGGTTCGACATCGAAACCTGAGAAATCCTCGTGTGCATCACCCCCGTTGTTGATTTTGACGTCTTCCGGAAGGATATCTGCTCGTCCCTCTCTGGTTCGCCTACATTTTCTTCTCTGGTGTTTGCGTTTAAAGTAACCTATAGAGATCGTCTTTCCGATTTTTCACTTGACTGATCATCATTGAAAACTATGCGCTGATATTAGTAAAAATCCTGGTGATCACACTCCGCTTTCTCGCAGTTGCTTTAAGAGACTTTGGTGGATCTTCGGGAATGTAGATTTGAAATCCTTTTGATTCTTTATAATAACCGAGAAATTTCCTCTACTTATCACGAGGGTCGATCTTCTTGCATGTAGCAAGCAATTAATTTTAGAACCGAAATTTACGAAATGTTCATGAAATTGTTTAAATTATATTTTTACTGTTTCTATACACTTTAATGAATTAGTTATGAAACTGTTTTCTGTAAAAATGGACAGATTGTCCATGAATTAGAAATAAATAATTTGTATTTTCCTTTTTTGTTTCAGGTGAGCTCACAGAGATGAAAAAAGTTAATAGAACAAAACCAGATAAGAAAATAAAACCCAAGAGAATTGTGAAAAGTAGCCCAGAGAAATTTGTTAGGAAAGGAAAAAGAGGGCCAAAAACTAATAAGAAAGCTATTATTGACAGTGAAGAAGACATACCCCCATGTACTGGTGTACAAGTACCTAGTGAAAATGAAGATCCTACTTTTGGATATGCAAGTCACCAAAGTGTTAATACTCAGACTTCAGAAGCAGAATTGCAAAGTTGTTCTATAGTGAATGTGCCTATTGGGAACTTGCCAAAAGAAAGGAAAGGCAGAACACGTGGACAAGGAAGGAAACAAGAAGAGCAGAAAAAGAAAGGTAAAAGAAAGAAGAAAAATGAAAATGCTTCTCTTGATTTTACTGAAGGATTGGCTCCTGGATTTCAAACTGAAAAGGGAGATTGTAGTCTACTTGGGAAGCAACTGGCTGATGTGCAATTGCTTCCAGCCCAGTCAAGAATGGGAGCTGAAATTTCAGTGAAAGGTGGTGAATCTCTGATGCAAAGACTCACAGCTGCAGGCAGGACAGTTCCCATTTCACTTGGTTCCAATCCAGATCTACTTCCTGAGGCTGATCGAGCTATGCTATTACAGAGTGCCAAAGGAGCAGAGACTGATCCATTACGGAGTCTGTTGGCAGCTCCACCTGTAATTCCTTCAGATGGTGATTTGAAAGTTAGTGAGGATGTCCCCCCACCAGCTGGGAAACGGAAAGGTCGTGGCCGAGGAAAAGCTGCTGCTGCAAAAGCAGTAGATGTAAGCCACTATCCACTTCAAAATTTTCCTCAGTCAGGCCCAGGAATTGGGAATACCAGCAGTAGCAGTGTAATAACACGAATGCTTCAATCTCAGCCTGTATCAGGAACACCCCAAAGTTTTACTGCGGCTGCAACAGCTATGGGTCACAAATATTTTGGCAGCTCTTCTGGAGAACCTTCACTGATGCCAATGCAGAATGCTGGTCGTGGCACTTCATCAGTGCCACCTTACTCAGGACCTCCAAAGGGTTTGTCATCACCATACCGACCACCACCGCCTACAGACACCAACAACTCTGGCCTAGGACCTGCAATGGGCCACTATGGCTCATCCCCATCCACCAGAGGGCCTGGAATTCGAGGTCCTCCTGGTTTCCAACAAACAGGATCCATGCGGCTTCGCAATCCTCCACCAAGTGGCCAGCCACATATGTTTCATACATCACACCATCCAATGGATCCATCACCGTCTGGTGGAGGTCCTATAATCATTTCTTCCACAGCTGCTCCTCCTCCTCCACCAGCAGGCAGTCCCCATAGTACCAAACCAGGTACGCCATCTACATCTCAAAATACACCAACACCACCCCCACCCCCACCATATTCTCGACCAGGGTCTCAGTTGCCCTTGGTTCCTCCTACAAGTACAACAATGCCATCAATGATGCAGTTCCCATCACAACAAGGAGATTCTTCACAGCCTCCTGTTCGGCATCCCCCTCCCCCGTTCCCACCTTCTACTTCAGCAGGTCACCTTCAAACTTCACAAGGTGCTCCACAATCATCTCCTCCTACTCACCAAGGCCGCAGCCCAGTTCCAGGTAATTTCTCACCTTATCATCCTCCTCCTCCAGCTAATTATCATTATGGTGGTTACCCACCACCACCTCCTATGTCAGCAGCTGATGATGCACTGCCTCCTTCGGCATTCCAAGGTTCCCCATATACAGATCACTACACATCTTCAGATATGACAGCAAATTTGCAAGCATCAGATGGCAGCAATAGCAAGTCGTATGATGAGGAAGGTGGTGGAGAATTTGGAGGCCTTGTCTCATACTTTTCCAGCCAACGAGAAGATGATCTAGACACATAGCAAGTTTGTTAAATCTGACTGATTCAATTCACACAATTTCAATCAGTCTTGAAAATCATAGTATTTTCAGTTGTAACTTATTGTAAAGGCAGCTACTAACCACTACATCACATTGTGTATAATGGATGTAAAGAGAAACATTCAAAAATTTGCATTGTGAATTTGAGAAGGACCATAAACATTTATTTTATAAAGAATAGAGAATGAGTGAATATTGGATGTATACTTGAGGTGGAGATGTAAATAGGTGTAAATATAAATTAAGGTAAATGTTTTAAGTGTAAACTATTAAATAGTATTATATATTTAATTACATTGTGCACCAATGTGAACTAGAGAAATATTTCTTTTTAAGTAGATTGGAATGTTTCTTGCATAAGCGTGGCAAATCTTTTTTATAAATATATACCCCTAACTGCACAAATCATACTTGCAAGAAAACTATCAGTGTAAAAGCCCCAAAATTAGTGATGTCTTGTTTGAAGCATTGATGAATCAAAGCTAGGAGAATGTGCATAAATACTCTGTAAACTTGTGTTAATCATATACTTAAATGTAATTCATCAACATAAAATCACTTAACTTTCCTCGTATCCATTTGTCATCCATACTTAATTTTCATATGGAAAGTAGTAATTAGAAGTTTCCTGTAAATCTTTAATGCATATTTTCCTGTGAAAACCAAGTGTGTCTCCAAGAATACTGTCATGAATGTGCTATTTTGCTTTCTTTCAAATTAGTGATGGAAAATAAATTTTCAAGTATTTTGTCAGTGACTTGATGCTTGAATGCTATCAGAGACAATTAGTTTCCATCACTTATATCTCTGTGGGGTGAATATTTTGTAAAGTTTTCAATTTAAAATTAAAAGATTATCTGCTGGTTGTAAAATTACATTCCTAAAAAGTTGCACAGAAAGGAAAAGAACTTGGAATAATATTTTTTTTCTTCTTTCATTATAACCATGTCTGGAGTTTAAAATTCAGTTCACGAAAATATACTGCCAGAATGGAGGAAAGCTAAAAAAATACAATTTTCATTAGTATTCATTGTAAATCGTAAAACCTTACCCCTTCCCAAGACCAGCGAAGTATGGAGATGGAAAGGCTAATGCATTAGTCAGGTATATATGTAATATTTATTGTATAGATGTACATGTGTATCTTGCTGATACAATACACTGAAATTTCTGTATAATTATACATATATAAAAGCACTGACAATTTTTATTACCTGTAACATCTTCCAAACCTATCATATATATTTCTTCACTCCAAATTGATGACTAGATGACAAAAAGAAAATGAACTCTCAGGCCACAACAAGGAAATTACTTCTCTTAACTTTTATAACACACCAAAAATTACGTGATTCACTGAAGCATGAAACTATTTGAATTATAAAAACCATACTGCTACAAAAAGTGAATTAAAAATTGCTTAATATGGTATTAATAAAACTATGATTGAATTTTTGCCATGAAACATCAAAATCCAGTATATGTCTCTGAAAAACAAAGTGATGAGGGTAAAAATTTACTAAGCCATCCAATAGGATAATTTCAAACAGTAAATGACCTCCAGTGGCTATATTTAATGTACAGTGTAATACTGTCAAAAAGTTGATAAATATCTTGCAGAGCTAACATTGCATAAAATACATGTATATGTATATTGATACAAAAATATAACATTAAAATGAAATATAAATTTAGTAGAAATTATCTTTTCAAATGCAAATTGGAAAAGACTACTGAATCTATAATTATGTAAAGCTCATTTTACAAGATGTCTTCCTTGTACCTTGTAATAAAAAGTCCCTACTATTTCACTAACTCATTTTCAGCACTGGCTTGCAAATATCACATTAACAATTATTTAATATGGTCATCACCGAAAACAAACAGTGAATTCACTCATAAAACAAACATCTGTAAATCTGAATTCACAAGGTGATGTTTCAGACAGTCATTCACAATCCTTGCAAAGTTAAACACAACCTAGTTGTGAATTACATTGAAGTCCATAATATGTAATCAAGATTATTAGAACGATTAATAATCATGAATAGGAATTAAAAAACAACTCTTCAGAAATGCTGCTTCGTCACTGCATGCATTAGGTACAAGATAGATTCTTGAAATAAGCTCAATATTATATCGCCATTTAAAGAATATTACCGGTGGCACCTTGCATCACAGGATAAATTTTACATTGCTGCTCAGAGATATCTTTCCAGAACTATAAATAATCTTATCTAATCACATTGATTCCACTGCACTCTCAATTATGTCATACTACAATGTAATATAATGATCCAAGCATACATCATATACAAAATGCATATAACATACAAACTTGAAAAATACTTAATTTTTTTCCTCATGGCATTACATATTTCTGGAAGAAGGGCACTTAGAAACCATTACATGTCACACCAGTCTTGAATACCTATACACGAATGTCACAACTCATTGAAAGGCAATGTTTGAGAGATTGACCAAAATGGTACGCAGAAAGTTATTCTCCACAACACAATACAACAATATCTTGTCTTAACATTTTTAAACACAATATCATTCACAAATGGTATTAACAATACATCTTGAAACCAATGAAGAAACTGCAACATTTTATTGTAATACAAATATTTAAGCGATTTTAAGTGAACAAGGAGGGTGACAATTTCTGCAAACGTCCATGCTCCATGTCACAAGAAAAGCACATTCAAGATGGTGAAACTTGTTTTAAGGTATGAAGAAATATTGAATGTTACTTGTTTGGCAGTCTTTCCAGAAAATCAGTTTCCAGAGCTGCTTCCAATTGCCCCAGTGATGAACTCCATTCTGGCAGAGTTGGTGAAGTTGAAAATGTACTCAGGCTTGTGAAGAAGGGATGAAGCTCTTGCATAGTACGAATGGATGATGATCTCAGAAGCAGTTGCCCGGGTAATCGAGGCAAAGGATCCACTACTCCTCCAAACTACAATGTTCAAGTATGAATATCATTAGTTCATATTGAGCATTAAACTACTCCATTATTAATTTTTTATTACGACTGAAAATAACCATATCATCAACAAAGTGTAACTTGCTCATACAGACACAAATAAGCAATATTTTAGAGTACTCCATAGAAATTTCTCTTACTATCCCCCAGAAAAAGAGTTTGAATAAAGATCAAAGGTTTGATCAATAAGTTTGAATAAAGTTCATGTTTTTATATCGTTGACAGACATTATTTCATTAATCATTTGTTTATATTTCTGGTCAAATTGATTAGAAGAATAATTACTGCAAATGCATACATTTTTTGTACTAAGCAATCGGAATTTATTTGATTCTAACTTATAAGTATATTTCTTTTAAAACTCTGTACTCTGCTTCAGTGGCAACTAAACGCTCTACGATATTGTTAATGAAGATTTTATAATAAAAATGGAGACAATCATCGCTCTTCAATATGAGTAGAGGGTGAATTTTAACGAAAAGTAATTTCCCTTTATAACAATCCCTTTTAGTATCGACATTAATTTTATGTTATGACAAAAAGAAATGACCCATTTTAATGTCACTTTTTTGTTTGTTGCATTTTTTGTTGATTTCAACTAATAAGTCATTTTTTACCTTTTCACATCATTTTTAAAGCATTTTTCACTAATTTTATAGATATTATCATCATTTTAATAGTACTTTCTTCAAATAATATTTACCAGATGCAACAAACTCTCCACAGAATTCCTATGTTACATATTCGATTTCGTTGCTCAGAAATTGTTATGTCAGCCATTAAAATTATGTAATCTAAGGTTTCTGTGACATCTATCAGTGCCATTGTTGGTTCAGTCGATTTTCTGACAACTTAAGACAGAGATTTCCTGGTAAACAACAGTCCAAAACGAAAGTTTACCAGCCGAGTTCACTTGAACGAAAGAAAGAAGTCTCAATTGCATCAGTAAAATATCATCCAACAGCTTGAGTTGTTCATCTGAACTGGTAGTTATCAAATTTTTTGCATGCTTTTTTTTTTACTTTTAGGACATTTTAAAAGCATTTTATAAATCATTTTTGGAGATATTTTAGATCATTAAAATCCCGGTGATGAGTATACAAGTTAGAAATAATCACCATTCGTGTCCCTGTGTTGTATAAACTGATCACAGAGGGAGCAGATCTGCTACGTTTGCTGTCTGCTCTAACAGATCAAACTCCCGAAACAACTACAACATAGTTACCATTTTGGCACCAGTGCATCCCTGATTATATACTTAAATTTTTCTAGATCATTGTTACACCTTCTGCCTTGTTAAAATTAATCTTTTTAATTACTTCATGAACATTCAACATGACTTGTGGCCTCAGAAATGTGCTACCACTGTTAAAAAGAGTAATTTTATAAGAAAGGAGGTGTAACAATGACATAAAGTCAGAAATCATAGAAAAATCGAAGTGTAATCTGGGTTTACTGGTATTACCTCTAATTATAAGTAAATGCTAGGTGAAACCCAAGTGAATGTCTCTCCAGACACATAAATGATGAGGACCTGGAGATGTGGTCTTAATCTCTACAATAGTTGCTCTTCGCTATTCTTAAAACACTGCATCCTGCCTGTAGTATAGGGATGTGATGTGATGTGCTGGTTGCAGGGGGCATCCACTATATATTTTTTTGTTATGTTTCTTTGATTGTTGGGGGAGTATTGCTGTTGCCTCCCATAAATATTTTTGAAATAATACACTTTAAAAAAAAAATTGTTAGCTTGAAAACACACAAAATTGTATTCATAAAATATCACATCCTTAGGATGTGATGCAATCAATTTGTTGTATATTCAATATATTGAGTAAAATTACAACAGTAATATCTGAGATAGTTAAGTTAGAGAGCAACAATTGTTGCCATTGCAGTATCTGACCAGGAGGTCCCAAGGTTTGAGTTCCAACCATGACAGATTTTGATACATGCTAGATAGCCAAGTAGAATCCTGCCATTACCTGGAGGAGAATTCTAGAGGAAATGCTGCTGCAAAGGATTACATACATTCCATAAATAATAATACCAACTAACAGTACACATTTTTGGAATGATGTACACATAATATTGGTCAGATAAATATAAATATGCTTTCTTTTTCTGTTGAAGTAACATATTTTTATTTACTTGACAAACATCCCAAAAATCAAAGTGGTTGTAAACTGCAACTTACTATTTCCTCAATATGCACCATTTCTATAACAATAAATCTTGAAATAATAGAATGACATTTATGATCCGGAAGCACATACCTTGGTGTCCATAAGTCTAGCTATCCGAGCAACATGTGGCACAAAATCAGGAGATCTAGCAGGTTCATCATGTGGCTGATTGTTGTTGAGTGATGGACACTCTGATCCGCCAACAAAAGCCCAACGGTACCTGTTTAAGGGCGATATTATTGACTGCACAAAATGTACAGAAAAATCATGCACACACACACACTTGTCAAAAAACACACAAGTATATATAATTAAATTAACAATGACTATAATAGTGATAACTCTAAGTTGGAGTGAAGCTAAAGTATTCTGGTTTCCAAATTTAATAAATTTGCTCTAGTTACTAATTAATTCATAATTCATCTTGTAATAGTTTCGGCTTAAGTGTCATTTAATGTTACACTCTACACAGTGGGCATTTGATAATGTGATCTTCATTTTAAGCACTGAAAACAGTGAATTTTTTACATTTTCCAGACACATTTTATGTGGAGGTAAGCTTGTTACCAGCTTTTTGGAAACAGCTTGAATCTCATAAATATTAAAGCTGAATATCAAAAAACACTACATATCTTTAAAAAAAGAGCATTAAATGACAGGTCTTCATTTTTTTAACATGAATATATTTCTGACAATTTTACACATGAAATATAAAAAGAAGGAAAAAAGCTAAAAAGTCTGAGAAACATTAGTGAACAAAGATGAGTTCAGTGAATTTTATAAATCTAAATCAAATTCTTACTTACATTTGGAACTGGGGAAGACGATGAGCAGGTAATGCTAAAGCCAAGTCCAAAAGTTTTGCTGCTGACAGTTGCAGTTGTAACCATGCTGGATGGCCATGTGCATGCAGTCCATTGTTACTGTTGACAACCCATGAAGAGTCTAAGGCTGACAGAAGTCTGATATGTGAGCTGCAAGCATATACACTATTACATTCACATATTCTAAATTACCTTCCCTTTCTCAGTAATTTTCCTCAGAAAAGATGGATTGAGATTGAAAGTATGAAAGTTAATTTTTTAATTACAACTTAAGGTACTCATCTACTCAAAAGGGAGTAAAATTCTAATTATTGCATTTAATTCATTATTAGCAAACTTTTGTAGTTTCTAAGGTAATCACCTACATAAAAAAACAATTTTTTAAACATGTTGTCATAAGCCATGTGGCTCTTCGTTTAGTTCAATGAATTCTTTCACACAACACTTCTTCCAATGTGTATTATTATGTGCACCTCAAAAAAAGAACAATTTATATTTTTTTTAAAAAAATGTATTGCACACTCTTATGTTAATTTTCTTCTTGGGCATTAAAAATAAAAACAATATTTATCAGTAGCTTAATCTAATACCCTCATTTTTCATATTTGCATGATGGAAAGTAATTTGGCTTTAAAACAAAACAAAAATTGATAAATATCTTTTCTGTTATGAATTATGTTTTGCTTCATCAAGATACATGAAAATTCATTGAAAGATAAAGAGTTTCCAACTGCAGATGGCATGAAAGCTGCATGGTACTTATACAGAAGCCCAGAAAATAGAAAATATCTTCACAACTAAGATTGCTAAATTAAATCCGTTTACAGTATCAATAAGTACAAAAAGAATAATTTGAAGGGGAAAAAATACAATTTTATAATCATTTTCATGAACAGTTAAGTAGATGAGTATCTTAGTTTGAGATGAGACAAATTAATTTGATGCGATTTCTGAGTCATAATTGGAAAAATCTGGGATAAAAAAAAAAAAAAATTGCATCACTGTTTGAAGTTAATGGTTCCTTTTTCAACTACAGTTTCTATAATTACAAAATGAACTATTAATCTAAATTACTCCCTCATATTTTATGTATTATCCATTTAATATTCTGATTTATTTTCAAAATGTTTGATTGTCTTTAATTAATTAGCATTGGAGGAAATGTTTAAACTGTAAACTTTTCTTAATATGAACAATTGTTTGATACAAAATTGTTCATATAAAGCAAATTTTCATCGTCTTTAAATAATTGTGGGAACTACCTTTAATACTTGACAAGTATTTGCAAATGTATAAAGTATCACTTCCACATTTCTATTCATTCCCATACTGAAGATATTCCACACTGAGCACATTCTCATTTCAAATAAAATAGGATTATCATACAAAAATCTGAATGAAACATTAATGAGTTTGAATTATCTTCCAAGCTGAATGGCTGTGTTCTAGTGGAAATCATATTTCCAGATGTTTTGTCAGCAAGTGCGGCAGATGAAATGTCTGGAAATATCATTTCCACTAGACCATGGCTGTCCAGACCAGAAGATAATTCGAATTGTGAATCTGGCCATGAATGCCTACATTGCTTTATTAACAAGTTCAACTGAAAAACTTAGAAACAAGATAATACTGTAATCTTACAGCCATACGAGCCACAGCAAGCCTCCCGCTTTTCAACATCTCGATTTCGGCTAAGTTGACTTCCTTTTTTTTATAAATGGCTTACAGATGAGACACGAAAACGTGTGAAATCAGCATTCCCTTGTACAGTGAAACTATGTTTTCTTCGCTTCGCACTTATGTTTTACGTTTATACATTTTTGGCACTTATGCGTTCGTAATAAAAGTCCCTTTAAGAGCGGAGCGACGTGCGCAGCGCCCGACTTTTACTGGAGAGGGCACGCTCCAGAGCGCTCCCGCGGGGCCACCTCTTGGCCTCTGAGGCGACTTTGCGTTAACCAAACTTGAAATATAGGAGCTCCACTCGGCCTACATACTATAGCTGAGGGCCCAAGACCGCGCGAGCACGCGGGGTGGTGGCTCCCCGGCCACAATGCAAATTAATTGTAACATTTTAAATAAAAACAATAATTTTCAGTAAACGTTATGGAAGTTTTAAAACTAACACATAGTCATGGAATATGTTTTTGGAGTTTTTATCTTGCTCATAACATTCGATTTCAGGTACGTGTTTTCCCCTTGAAAACACACAGCAGTAAAAATATAATAGCCTGTTTTAACTTTTTAATTTATTTATGTATATATGTTGTTCTTTAAGTAGTGGAAGAAATGTTATGTAACACTCCAGAAAATTGATTTTGCAATTTGGATGAAAATACCACGTTCTGGGGTCTCCTGATACCAAAAAAGCTTTTTTTTATCTGTCTGTGAATAATTGTAGTACCTAATCCAGTGCCAGAACTTTTTCTAAAATGAATACTGCCTGATCAATCGAACCTGATCAAAAGGTTACAACAAAATGACCTTCATATAATACTGTTATTTGCAACATTTTTTTGGGGGCGGGAGGGACAAAAAAATATAAAATTAGGAACTTTTGAAATTTTAACATTAACAAGGGGTGAAATCTGATACGTGCCATCTTTTAAAGAGGTTTTCTTAGTTATACCAAGAAATTTAAAGGAAAGTGTTGGAGCAATTTTTGGGACAAATTATGAAAATTTTCCAGAGCCTTCATGTGAAAACTAAAGACTTCATTTCAAATTTGCAGGGCTCAAGAAGAGCTACATCATTTTGGGCAATATTTGTTTTCAAAAGATTGTTTTATGCATTGGTGTTGACTAACCAAGAGAGAAAGAGCGGACGACCAAAAAAGATAGACAGAGACCCAAGGACCGACCATTTTGGAGGAGAGAAAAGAAGAAGAAAGGAAGGAGGGGGAAAAAGGAGAGAAAGAAAAATTTTCTCTAGATTATGCTTATGACTCTTTATAAGAAAGTAAAAACTAGATTTTCTCAAAAACATCTTCACATTTTTTTCTGTACACTATTTTTATTTATACACTGAATAATATGACATTTAGTGATATTTTGTGTAACCTTTTGATACTTCAAAAAATACATAATTCAATTGGAAAAGAAAAATCTTACTCCTCTGAAATCTCATATAGAGAAAATAAAATACTTAACAGTAGAAACAATTTTTGAGAATCCTGGATATTATTCAGGATAAACATTCCTACTTAAAGAAGCTCCGTACAAATTAATAACCGCATTTCTACAGAATTGGAACTTCCGAGTGAGAACTGGTGGTTTTCCCCCTCTTCAGATAAGCCTGTCCTCAGTGTTCCACAAGGTTCCGTCCCACTACTCTTCCTACTCTACATAACTGACCTCTGTAACCTGATGATATCTCCCAATGAGTGCTTCGCCACCACCTTGAAATGTTAACCCACTCATGCTCGATATTCAAGATGATCTCAACAGGCTCTTCCAATGGTCAAACAATTGGTTGCTCACAGTCAATCCACTGAAGTGTTCTGTTCTTCATATTGGAAAAAATTACAGTGCAAATGCTATCATCTGAACAACCAATATATTCCTCATGATCCATTTTAACCTGACCTGGGAATTATGAACTAACAGAATCTGAAGGGGAGTACACATTTTCAATATGTGACAAAAAGAGCCAACATAAGTCTCCTATCTGGGCAATGGTGCTTTGAAGCATCTGACCTCAACTTTTCCGCAACATCTTCACTACTTCCATTAGGCCAATAATTGAATTTGGTTACTGTATCTTCACCCAGGACCTGGCTCTCTCAGTGTTCTGAGCAAATCCTCAAGATACATTACTCTCCTGAGACATCTGTCATACCCTCAGAGACTTGAAGCACATCACATGTTAATAGCTGATGACCATATTTTGCTGAGAGATCTCAATGAAACATACAAAATACTAAACGGTCACTACAACCGCCCAGCTTTTCAAAGATTTGTTCCTCTACAACACCAAATTCCACCTTCACAGTCAGAATTACAAAATTGAACAGATGCAATTTTTTGTGCAATCCATACAAATGTTTCCTCTCTAGCAGTTGTCGATCACTGGAATCGCTTATCTGCTGCTGTTGTCAATGCTCCCAACATTCACACATTGAAACAACTTATGGACCAATTTATACCATTCTTTCTTGATTATCATCTACCATCTTTTTCTTTTTTTTCCCTTTGTTTTTGGTATTCTTTTCCATATACCAAATTATAATTTTATATTTCTTTCTCATGTGTATCTGTTTTATTGTGAACATTATCAGGAATGCCTTGCCTGTTCCTGTACTTAGTAAATAAATGAATAAATAAATCAGTGGTTAATAATCAAAATCGATACAACCACTGATTTTTAGAAAGGATATTGGTAGAAAAAAGTGGTTATAAAAGCCATAGAGTTTGTAATTTACTGAAAAATCACTTCATAAGCTTGAATATGACTAATACTTTAACCAAGAAATTGATACAAAACTGGCTAATTCATGTAAGTGAGAATGCTGTTCAAACCATTATTACGAAAACTCTGTTTACATTATCTATTAAGTGTTGTTTATGCAGAGGTCACAATTTATATGATTTGCATTTATTCCTTTTATAGCAAACCAAATGTATATGTGAGAAGCAAATCTGTTTTTCATATAGGGTGACTCGTCTTCTCTTGGTTTTCTCTCTCTTTCTTCTGTTTTTGCTTCCTATTATATTATTTAATTTCATTATAAAAATGTATTGTGATTTGTGATGACTTATTATATATTTTGATTAACAAGTTTATGTACAGGCAAAGTTCAGCAAGGTCCAAAGTTATTTATACTTTAAGAGAACATGTATATTTTGTACGTATTTACAACGTGAATAACAAACATAAGTTTTGTAAAACGTCAATTTTTAAATTTCTTACTTAGTTAATATTTACACACTAGGTATTTTTATATATTATTGCATTTATGAATACAAGTGTTTCAAAGTGTGTCAAAACATAAGAAATGTTTTCCAGAGAAAACAAACTCAAAATAGTGCACTTTCAGAAATGCTAAAACAACATTTGCACAAAAATGGATTCTAATTTTTCAATGCAAATTAGTAAATATT